CTGTGTGTGTTTGTCCATCCTCTCTGTGTACTGTACAACAAACAGAGCTGGGCTGGCAGCCACCACATTGGGAGTGAGTAAATACTACACAGTCAACTTGGTTGATCAAAGTGAGCCTACATTAGCATAAAGCCAAACAGAACAAACAAAAAGGAAGTAGACACCGCAACAGTTTTGAGAGAGAACTCTTGGTTTCCTATTCTGGGGAAAGAGACCCTGCTACACAGATCGACATTCAGAAGGCACAAAAGGAAACAGAGCCAATGCTTCCTGGGTAGCCCCACCTCCCAGCCTCGTCTGCTCCCAAGACAGTTAAGGTTGTCAGATTTCTTCTGCTGGACAAAACCCACTCACGTGTGCTACACACACGCTTTCTCCCCCTTTCACAGTTCTGGGCAGGGCTCCACCCCTTGGGCAGCGGACACTACAGTTGGTACTACAGACCATTCACACAGTAAGGTGTGTGTCTGCCCTCACTGCTCCTCAGTAAGTCAGCAAACCAAGAACAAGGACCCAATCAGCCTCCAGTGCTTGTGTTGTTTTGTGATGCTCAAGTCCAGGGTCTCATGAACGCTATCCAAGAATTCTACCACCAAGCCACGTGCCCAGCCCTGCATGTCTTTGAAAGGTTGTTTTATTAGAACACAGCCCTACCCATTTCTTTAGCTACTAGCTATGGTTGCTTTTATGTTGAACAACTGCCCTGACTAACTGCTGAGGCGTTATGGCCTGCCAAGCCAGCAACATCTACCATCTGCTTTTTATACAGGTAAGCTTGGTCGTGACCTCAGAAACAGTGGTTCCTCATTCCTTTTAAGCAGTTGAGTGGCATTCCATTCCTTCTTCAAATCCCCCCTATTCTCTGGGCCTGTTTCCTCTCAGTTAAAATAAGAGAAGAGAGAAGGTAAAAGGCTACAGTCGCTCACAGACCTTTTACGATTTTAAGTATATGTTAAACGAGACCTTCTCAACTATGTATGTATGTATCCACCCACCCACCCACCCATCTACCTGTCTATCGACAGGGTTTCACAGTGTAGCCCAGGCTAGACTCAAACTCTTACCTCTTACTTCCTGCCTCAGCCTCCCCCATGCTAGGATCACAAGTGTGACCACAAGCCACCTGTGCCTGGTTCCAAAAATTTATTTTAAAAGTAAAGATCAAGCGGGTCTACCAAACTCAAGCACGGGTATATCAGAACTGCCGATTCTAGGCACAGGCATCTCGGATTGATTCTGTCATCAACTAGCCTGTCATCGCGTTAAACCTGTCTATGCCAGCAGCCAAGCCCAGGTGCAACTGTCACAAGGCTGCCGGATGTTGGGACCAGCTCTGACAGTGTCCCTCTCTTCTGCTACACAGAGACACCGGGAAGGAGCAAGGGAGGCAATGAGAAAGGCCCCAACCCGTTTCAGCACAGCGATGGCTACACAGAAGCTGCCATTTGTCCCGAAAGGCTGGCCACCCCCACCAACCCTCCCAGGCCCAAACCTGAAAAACCGGGGCTGGTGCTCCATGCTGCTCTCCTCTAAGACCCTCCGCCTCTCCCGCTGCAGCTGCTCGATCCTCTGCTTCTGCACCTCAGCTTCCTCCACGTTCCCTTCTTCTAGAAGCCTGGGGAGTGAGGGAATGAGAAAAGGACTATCCACTGGAAAAGAACAACCAACCACTTCGATGTACAAGACCAGGTACTAACCATCCCCTACGTCCCGTCCCTTCTTCCGACCATGATGCAGCGTTCTGAGCCCGAAAGAGGATCACCTCCTGTGAACAGGAGATCCAGGGCTCGAAACCTCCCAGTCAGCCTTCTACCTCCCCCGCTTTCCCATGACAGGAACCTCACATCATTCAGTTCTTGGGTATATATTTTTCAAATGGTGATATAGATTCTTATCCCTTCCTCCATTTAAAGAGCATAAATGGCAGCAAAACAGCTTTGTTTTGCTTTGCTTTTTATTTAACAACACCTAGTAGAGGTCTTTTCCCATAGTGCCTGGACAACTGCGTTTTTTAATAGCTGTGTAGTACTCTGCTTTGTGGATGTACCTTAATTACTTCCACTATGCTCCGCATACAGAAATTGGGCTGGTCCCACTATTTTTAGCATTACACTTAGTGTTGGATTGTATGACTCTGGACAGCCAGCATTTACACCTAGGAATGTGTGTCTGTTCAAGAAACTTCTAGACTTAGGATTGTTGGACAAAAGTGTGAGTCTTTAATTGATATATTATGAAACTCCACTTTATAGAAAATTAAAGCAACTTATATTTCCCCCTTTTATATTATATTTTACACACTAAATATTAATTTATGTTACAGCATGATGTTAACAGCCACAGATTTTTTTGTAATTTTTATTTTTCATTTTTGCCAATCGAAGAAATGGTATTTTCACCTGGTTTTCTCTCCATGTTTTTAAGGACTACTTGAGTTTCTTGTCTGTGAACTGTTCATTTCCCCAAGTCCGTTTTCTCCCTATCTTACTGCTTTCTGGAACAAAGCCACACTGTTAGGCTTAAGTACAGACTTATGCTGATCATTTATCTTTGATTTTGGTTTTACACCTATATTTACCACAATGTTAAGGCTTTTGAAAAACTAAATCTTACATAGCAATCTTTCCATACATGTCCCTCTGAGAGAGCTGCTTCAAGCCCCCACTCTGACAGGACCCAAATATCAGGCTCTGGGGGCCAGGCAGTTGTAAATACCATTTTTTTTTTTTTTTTTGTAGATTGTTTTAAATGTCTCTGGAGAGAAAGATCTTTGGAAAAAATCCTTACCTTTGATCTGGTCTAAACCGAGTGTCGGTGGGTGGTAATAAAGACCTTGACAATGGATCCATTTCATTTAACTCTAACGCAAACTGTGTGAAGCCATAATACTGCTCATAGCCTTTTGGCATGGGATCTGAAAGAAAAATAAACCACCCAGGTCTAATTTGCAATTCATTTATGTTAGTTTAATTCCTTCACCTTTTTCGTCTCAGACCCACTATGTTTTATCTCTAGCTCTAGACTGTTCTGTTTCTATTAAAATATTCTGACTAACAAATAGCTACTGAGCTTTTCTCTGTAGATTTTTCTGTCTGACTTTTCAATCTCAGGGATATGGTCTCTTTGCCTTGGTCCTATAGTGAATTAATTCAGTGCTGTGAAGCATCTGTATTGTCTGAGCTGGCACAGAATTTGTTATTCAAATGTACACACCAGGGGCCCAGTGAGATGCCACTCAGGACTGCCTGAGTTCAGAACCTGCAAGGCAGAAAGAACTGACTCCACAGTTGTCCCGATTTCCACATCTGTGCCAGGGCATGCACATCCCCACACTGATATTACACAGTTGCACACGCGCACAATCAAGTTTTAAAAATCAGTTAATGAAACCCACTAGGCCTTTTCTTAACCAGCTGCACTCCCGCTGCAGGAGACCTGTGCTCGTGCAGAAAAGGTAAACTCCTGGGACTGTAGCAGCCACAACAGTGCTCAACTAACTCCCCGAGGGCAGTTGGTCTTTCTCTCCTCCTTGTCTCTCTTTTCATAAACCTCTAAAATCTCACATCCCAGGGGTAGAACGTTAGGTTCTAATTCGCCCTAACTTTGATCTCAGCTGCGACTTGGGTATACACCGGGAGAGCCAATGCAGACTCAAGACATCCCTTTACAACATCCCCTTACAGTCTTAACACCTGCTGGTTACACACACACACACACACACACACACACACACACACACACACAAATGTCCTCCGTGATGTTCGCCGCAGACATCCTTGTTGGAACTTTTCAAGTCCCACTGGCAGCTGATCCAGTTCTCTGTGTATCTCATCCTAAGCTTGAACATGGGAGCCAAGCCCTATGCTGCGCTTGCCACCTGGGACCCCAACCAACGGGGGGGAATGATGCTGATTTCCTTCAACATGGGCCAGGGGAGCTCACAGGCCAAGTTCAGGTGAGCTGAGCCTTCCCTGCTGGCCACAGTTGGCATGGGGATGGGTTGGGAGCCACTTGAGGCTGCTGTGCATGAGGACATGCTGGCTGGGAAGCCTGGGAGATGCTTCCTTTTTGAGAAAAGGGCAGTTAGGACCAGCTTCTCTTTAATCCCCTCCCCTGCCTCCCTGCTTCTCATCTGGCTATGAGGTGACGAGATACTGAGTTGCTACAACCATCTACACACAGGGAGGAAACACAGGTAGCATAATGCTTCCCCGTGGATCTATGTCTCTGACACCAGTAGGCCACAGAGGTAACAGCACGGGGCCATCACCCCTCAACTTCTTATTAAATCATGGCATGGGGCCTGGTGGCTTAAGGCGCTCACTAAGTAGTTTTCCTTTTCCTTTCCTCCCAACCTCAACCTACAACCTTCTCTCCCTCCCTGACCAGACTAACACCCATCCTTAAAGCCCTTATCTCAGGACAACAGTTTGAATAAAGTGACTCCAACTTGGAGCCAAGCTCTTTTCAAACCGAGGGATTAAGGGGTTGCTGGCGCAGCCTGAGCTCCACAGCTTTCCTGACACAGCTGCTCCGGGGGCAGTGTCCTAGGATCATGAGGGAGACCAGGGTGGCTGTCAGGGTTGGGCCGCTCGGAGGATCCTGCATGCTTTGGAAAGCCTACCTCCCTCTGTTTTTCCTTTGCTCTTGCTCTAGAATTACTCGCCTTTTGCTGTCATTCCAGCAAGGCCTGTTACAGTCGCATGTGTGAACCCCAAGAACCCACCAGGCCACCGTTGGATTGGCAGTTGGCTTCTCTCTGAGGCTCTCAGAACCCAGAGCGGAACCTGGCAGCCAGGCTGAGAAGCTGCTGCAAGCATGACAAGGATGTGACAGGCAGGGGACGGCCAGAGACACAGGGGAGCGCCCCGCCCTCCTGCTCCCAGGCAACCGCTCATCTGTTCTATGCTTGGGGTCTGTGGACACTCACTTGCTCTCCAGACACAGGTGGAGGAGGAGGCTCCGCCACAGTAGATGCTCTCGTGCCATTTCCCAAACAGCCGGTGCGCAGCCTTCCCACTGCGGTCGAACACCGTGCCTTCGATCTCGTGGGCGTTCGTGCTCCAGTATTTTGCCTAGGGTGCAGATGAGAACGGTCTGGGTAGCACCTGGGCACTTGCTCATTAGAGGGGTTGAGTAGAGAAAAAGGAAGCAAGAGGAAGAACTAGGGCTGGGCCCAGCGGTGCTCTTCGGTGAGGAGGGCAAGCCAGATCAGAAGTTCAAGGTCACCCTCAGCTGCAAGTCAAATTTGGGGCTAACCTTGACTGCATGATACCATGTGTCAGGGGAAAGAAAAAAAAAAAGCCATAAGCGTATTTGTATATGGCCAGTTATGGGTTGTTTATCTAGTAAACAAATACAAATTGTATCTTTTTATCACCCAAAATATGTACGCACTGAGGAATGGCTAACTCAAGCAATTTAGCATGGTTGGCAATTTTTAAGTGTATAGATACATTTTTAACGGCTCTCTTGACTTTGAAGAAACATTGCATCCTTTGATCAGTATTTTCCCCTAGGCTTTACCCCTACCTCTGGTAACCACCATCCTACTTCCTGCTTCTAGGAGTCAATTTTTTTTTTTTTCAGTTCCACCCACAGATGAGGTCATGTGGAATTTTTATGAGCAGGGCTCATTTCACTTGGCACAATATCTACCACATTCATCTATTCACATTGTGAATGACAGGGTGTCATCCTTCATACGGCCGAGCAGTATTCCACTGTCCTTCTGCACCCTAACTATGTGCTGAGCGCCTTTAGGATGGTCCTCTGCTTGCTCTTGTGAACAGTGTTGTGGTGGACAGGGGGGTGCTGATGGCTCTGTGAGTTTTGACTTCATGTCCTTTGGCTGTCTACTCAGGAGTGGGGCTGCAGGGTTCCAGGGAAGCTCAGCGCTTTGAGGAAGTTTATTCTTCCTAAAGGCTGCGCTAACTCATATCCATCAGCGGTGTGCGAGGGTTCCCTTCTCTTCAGGCCTTCTCATCTTTTTGCTGCCAGCTATTCTAAGAGGCAACGAGGTGACGCCTCACAGTGGCTTTGATGTGCATTTCCTGGATGACTCGTGATCCTGAGTATCCATTCACCTATCTGTTGGTTGCCTGCGTGGCTGACTTTTAGGCATGTGTCCAGATCCAGATGCTCAGGCCTGCAGCGAAAGCCTTTAACCTCAAGCCTGGCTCGCTGCACTTTATCTAGCACCTGCTTGGTTTGAGATGGGATCTTGCCGTAAAGCTTTCACAGTGACCCTCCTGCTTCAGTCCCGAGTCAAAGGTACTGGTCATCCCGGGGCCAAACTACCGCACTCAGTTCCCCGTCTATCCACTGTTTTCTTGCAGCCGAGTAGAGTTCCATTTTATGTTTTGCATTTTAACTCTGTATCAGATTGCAAATATTCCCTCTTTTGCAACAGTGGATATCCAACAGCACTATTGAAAAACCAACTGCCCTTTCTTATTGTGTCTTAGGGGAATCTTTTTAGAAATTAAGTAGGAACACGCAGATTTATTTCTGGGCTTTCTAGCCTGTTCCCACAGCCTGGCAAGGTTTTGGATTTAAAAACAAAAACAAAAGCAAAACCTTTTTGTTATTTAATGAAAATTGCCGTTACCTACTATCTGCAGTTTGTAATCCAATAACGAATGTTTGTATAGGCTATGTGCTTTTCCTATTTTTGCTTCACTTACCAGAGGAGCACAAAACTCAGTTCTTAGGTATCTGCCAAGTAGCTAGCGCACTGGCTAGGTTGCTAATTGGGGTGTGATTAGCAGCTGCCCCAGGGATGTCACTGTGACTCTAAAGCCTGGGAGCTCTCATTACTGCAATTTAAAGTTAACTCATAATTCCTTTTACCTGAAGAAAATAGTCATTTGCAAACCAGTTAAAGAGTTTGCCTAAAAGTGCAGTTTCTACTACTTTCCTCCATTCTAGGCCTGTTCCAGCTTCAGGGTCCTTGTACAAGCCACCTTCTCAGTAGTGGTCTGTGAGGCAGCCTTGCCTGGGGCTTAGCTTGGCTCAGCCTTGCTCATCCCAGCTGAGGACCATCAACTCAGCCTTGTTCACACAGTACCACTCTCCAGCCAGCAGAGGGAGTGCCAACTCCCTAGAGGTGATGCTTTGGAAATTCCCCCAACTACCTGGCCATCCTCAAAAACCTTCATGAACAGAAGGCATTCCTCCGTAAATCAAAAGCCCTAGCACTATCTTCAGCTGAAACCGAAGCCGTATTTGGAAAGCAGGAAAGCTGAGTGGCATTTCCAGGCCGTTTTCTGCTGGTTCAGTTTCTCCCCTTTAAAGCTTTGGTAAAATGCAAAGGCAGGGCGGGACACAGCAGCGCCAGACACGTGAATGAAGAAATTAGAAATCGAGTTCTCCAGCCATGTAAAAGTGGCAGGGGAAGAAGGGAGCCCAGACTCTTAAGTTTAATGGTCAGTCTCCCCCCCATCCCTTACGGTATTTATCAACAAATGAGATGTTAATGATTGGCTGGGAGGCCACAAAGGAGACAGCCAGAGTCCTTCCACATTCAGTGCTTATCTCAAATAACAAGCCTTTTCCTGTAAAGCCGGGGCAGCAGTGTACAGCAGTAATCTCAGTACTTCTGAGGATGCAGGAGGATTGCTCTGAGTTTGACTCAAACAAATGGTCTCATTCTTTCTCTAGTCCCGGATAGACAAGAACAGGGAGGACGGCAGACAAGGTGCAGACAAGGCAGGGAGCACGTTGCTTTGAGAAGATGTGGACAGCTGCTCCTCCTGGATTAGGGGAACAAATCCTTGCCCCAGCTGCCTTTGGCTTCTTTCTGAAACGTACGTAGGCAAAGCTTTCAGAGTAGGGCCGCTGTGATTTGCTAGTTTTATGTCCGTCTACAAGCTCATTTGACTTACACGTTACAGTACAAACCCTGACCGGCCTCACAGATGTGCCCTGTGGGTGACAGGTGGTGCAGAGAAGGGCTGGATGAAGCTGCACTCGGTTCAGGATGTTGATCTCAGCCAGGTGCAAACATTCGTTGACAAGGGTTTTGCTCTAAAGCCACTTTATGTACCCGAGGGTTTTAAAAGCAAGAAGAGACTAGGAGGAGGAGAAAGGGGAGGGACTCAAATCAAGGAATTTGGAGAGAGACTCTATTCATTCTTTTCTCACATCCGCAGTCCTTTCTATTTATCTCTGAATGAGCATGGCTCTGTGGTTCCTATAGCTGGGGCTGTAGGATGAACAGGATGGACTAGGATTTTACTCTTGTGAAGCTGGGGGCGGGGGGTGGATCCCGAGGGTGTGGAGAGCAGAGAGACCGATGAGTAAAAAAATAACTCCAGCGGGGTGACAAAAGCCTTGAAGAAAACCTGATCGTGAGGGTGAAAGACAGAGCGAAGTGGTAATATCAGGACCTGGGGAGAGGAGGCCTGTGGGGAAGAAGGGAGGAAAGAAGGGCCAGTGTGGTCAGGAGCTGACAGGGGTGGGGGGGCAGCAGGGAGAGGACGGGCCAGTGGACATGCGCGTGTGTGTGTGTGTGTGTGTGTGTGTGTGTGCTGTGTGGGCAGCACTGATGGTGCAGAGCCTCATGGGCCATTGAGAGGATGTTAACTTCCTTGAGAGGACGAAAGTGAGTGGAAAGCCTTGGTAAGGGGATGGCTGGTCATGCCTTTTCTTGAAGCACGATTTGCCACGAGGAAAGGCGTGACTGGCCTTGCTGTCCCTTCACCCAGTTCTTTCTTCTGTGACAGAGTCTTACGATATGGTCCAGGTTGCTCTCAGACTCACAATTCTCCAGCCTCAACATCTTGAGTGTGGGATTAGAGGCGCATGCACCAAGTCTGGCTTCATTTTGATCTTTCTTAAACGCACACCTCAACTATAAAAACTGCATCTACAATGTACAACCATCACTACTATCTATTCCTAGAACTTTTTCATCTTCCAGAAATTCCAAACCCATGACACACAAACCCCCTCCTTATCCCTCCCTCCACCTGGGCCCTGATAACCCTCCCCCCCCCCCCCCCCCCCCAAACCCCTTTCTCTCTTTGTGTTGTAGGAATTCACGTGACTGGAATCGTATAGAATGCATCCTGTCATGACTGGTTCATCCACTTAGCATGATGTCTTCCTGTATCTGTGGCGTGGTCCAGTGACATCCCATGAAAGAGTCTCCCAGGCTCTGCACTGAGGGCAGATGGTAGGAGAGGCATGCAGGGCCAGCGTCCCCGGGCGCCTGGCACTGCCTCGGCCCTGCGGCACCGGAGCTCGGCTCACTCAAGGTACCTTTATGAAGTTCACTTTGCAGTGGCAGGAGTCGTCAGCCAGGTTCTTGATGACAATCTCGCCGTAGTGCTCGATCCAGCGCTGTCCGCTTAAGATGTTGTGGATACAGGAGGTCACTTTGTTCCACTCAAAGTGGTCCCCAAAACTGAAAGAGAGCAGCGAGTCAGAGATGGCTCCCAGCAGAGCCAGCCGCAGATGCAGCGGGCCACCTGACTTTCTCTGAGGCAGGGAACAAACCACTCATCCCCTCGTTTGCAGACCCTGTGTCAGGTGAAGTTCCGAGTTGACAGGTGAGCTGAGGCTCTTAAGCCAGAAAACACCTCAGCAGTCAACCTCCTGCCTCCCGAAGGCCCCAGGGGCTTCACTAGCAAGAGGGCTGCCTCCCGGACCACCAGCCACCCCTTTCCATTGACAGCTTCAGGGGACATGTCTGAAGCTGCCTGACTAAAGAAGGGAAAGGAGTAGAAGGACGCAATGGGGTGGCGGCCAGGCTCTCACACTTTACTAATCACGTTATTCACATCTCTCCCATGAACAAGAACCCAGGCATTGCTTACAGAGCTAAACAACTGTGAGGAAACAGTAAGCAGTGTTTTAAGAGCTTTAAACATCATGTCTAATTTTTCTGTCTAGTTTTCCTGGATGTCCTATGAGGCAGGTGAGGGCACCGATGACAAGAAATGTGTGGCAGCCTGACCAACCATCATGTTGTGAAAGGGCACGACAGCAGGTGATTGCCGACAGCCTGGCCTGGAGTCCCAGACTCACCATCACTTTGCTATTGGCGATGCCTATATGAAGAAGGCCATGTCTGACTCTTGAGGGCATCCTGACAGCGAGGCAGGACCATGGTGATAAAGAAAAATTACCTTTCATCTTGGAAGGAAGCAGAAAGGAAATTTTTTTTTTTTAAAGCCTCTGCTTCGACATCTGTGATCTGAAGGGGGCATTTCCATCCAGTGAGAGGAAACAATAGACTGTGAAGCCTGCCGGGAGGAGGCTACCTGAACTCACTGCAGATGGAGTCAAAGAGAAAAGCATCATCTCCGAGCCAGAGGGCTGGTGAGCATCCTGCCCCTATGTGGGTTTTTGGCCTGAGACCTAACATTCCTAACGCAGAAGGACTTACGCAGGCAGAATCACGTGGGTTGTGCCAATCGGGACAATTTCCATGGATTTACCCCAGAATTTATTTTTCCACCTCACATCTGAAATGAAATATCAAATATCATATATTGAACCAGACAGCTAGAAGGATCAGAGATCTCAGGCTGGACAAATCATTGGTCATTCTATAACCGTCACAGTCCATTTGGTTCTAATGGAGATCATTGTTCATAGACTAGCTACACCAACTGGGTATCCAAAACAGAATCAGGAACAAAGTCCTCTCAAAAGAGTCAACAGTCAGAGAGTGAAGTGAAACAAGGCGTGGTCACATGGTACAGGCTATCCCAGTGTGCTGCAGCATGCGGGGGAGCGAGGGCAGAGGGTGGCTGGACTGTTTGAGGAAGGCCTTGAAAGAGGCTTGTCTGGAAGAGCCAGAAACGGGGCTTTGGAGAATACAAATGAGTTCGTGGCGCATAGGGAAATCGGCGTTGGGAAAATGGTATTTAAGGGGTTAGAGGTCTAAGAGAGACTAGTGTGGCTCTGTCCTGCAGGTCTGAGATTATCGAAGGGGAGGAATAGAAAGTCAGATTGAGAAAACAGAGGGTTCGGCAAGCCTGGCTATTACGTCCTTTTTGAATTGAAAATATTTAGGGGAGCAGTGTAATTAAATTTAAAAAAAAAAAAAAAAAAGGCAAGGCCATACAGAGAATGGAGCCTGGGCAGGATGGGTGAAAAGCAAGGCCAAAAAGAGAAGCGGCTGCTGTGGCTGCTCAGGGTATAATCAGGAGTGAGGTGAGTCAGGCCCACAGCTGTGGTGCAGGGGGCTCATAAGGAAAGAAGTAAAAATGAAGAACGGAGAAGCAGACAGACACAGGGTGAGAAAGGAAGGGAGTACTGACAAGCCATAGCTGCTGTCCTAATTTGTGGATGCTGGCACCCAGAGAAAGAGGGAGAACAAGAACGGGAAGCTGCCCTTCCTGTTGATGCACTGAGACAGAAGAACTGTCGAGACAAGGGCAGAAGCAGGGAGGTTAGGAGATGCACAGCTGGGGTCCAGGAGAGAGGTGAGAGGCCCTTTATGAAATACTGCAGATGGTGAATTTAAAGGAAACTGAGAGAGTGTATTTGCTACAGAAGCTGTTTTGGAATGATGAAAGTATTTTAAAATTAATTGTGCTGATTAAAAAAAAAACACAATGGGTGCAATGGTGCATGCTTGTAATCCTACCACTCTTCGAGGCAGAGGCAGGTGTGTGTCTCTCTGAGTTCGAGGCCAGCCTGGTCTACAAAGCTAGTCCAGAACAGCCAGGAAGGACTACACAGAGAAATCCTGTCTTCAAGTGCCCCCCCCCCCCCAAAAAAAAACAAAACTCAAATCACAAAGTTATATGCTTTCAGTGGGTAAACAATATAGTATGTGAATATTTCTCAATAAAATTGGTATGAAAACTGAAAAAGGGAGAATCTGAGCGGGGATAATAATGCACTGCTAAATTTGTATCACATACAAAATCTCACCAAGGTCAGGCTTACTTTGTTATGTTTCTTACTACATCGAAACTAGTATATAATAATGCCAGTTGATGGCAGACGATAACACCCTAAAGATACTTAATATGAACCTTGAAGTAACAACTAAGGCATGAAACAAAGAGCTATAGATCTAATCAAACAAAAGAGATAAAATGGACATAGAGACAGTATTCAACTAATTCAAAAGGCGTAAAAAAGAGAAAAAGGGTGAACAAGAAACAGATTTGACAAATCAAAATAAGGCACACTTAAATCACCTACATATTTAGTTACAACAAATGTAAATGATTTAAGCAACCCAGTTAAAAGGCAGAGAAATTTGAGAAGAAAAGAGGAGGGTTCAAGGATTCTATACTGCAGAAGCAGGTAGAATCGTCCAGGAATGTGTGTAACACGGAGCCTTCAGGGACAACTTTGAGAAGGCACTCTGGTTGAAAACAAAAGTGAAGACAAGTGAAAACAGTGAAGCACCCACAAGGCCAATGAGCTGTATCAGGCAGGAGCTTAGGAGCCTTATGAGAAATGTTTCTAGAGGGTCTAAGTGAAAAGCAGAGAAATCTCAGCTGAAGCTTCAATGTTTAATACTAAGCATCAGCAGCAAAGATTAAAGGGGAAGAAAACAAAACACTTGACTTTTAACTTTCCACTAGTCATCCTGAGAGCCTCCAGACAGAGTACGCTGTGACGGAGCAGGAACGTGCGAAGTGTTACAGTGGGCTCTTCAACTCTCACAAAGATATGTGCACACGTATGAATGCAGACAGGCAACACGGGAAGCAAATGGCAGTGTAGCAAAGAAAATGTTTTTAAAGTTGATTAGGAACTGGAGATGTGATTCAGCTGGTGACTGCAGAGCATGCACAAGGTCCAAAGTTCGGTCCTCGGCGCTGCAAAAACCAGATGTGGTCATGTACACCTGTGAGCCCGGCATCTGGGAGGTGAAGCTGGGAGGATAACCAGTGCCAAGTCAGCCTAGTCTGAGACGTTTATATAATGATTTTGAGGCTACTCTGGACTTCGTGAACCTCTGTCTCTAACAATCAAAACCACACACACATATATATGTACACACGTACACGTACACACACACACACACACGAAATGTGCCCAACTACTTGAAAACCCAGGATACTCAAATTTCTCTTTCTGTATTCCAACCTTTGAATAAAAGAAAATTTAACAAAACTAACTCATTTAGGAAAAACCTGAAGCATTATTTTTAGAACAACTTTCCACCTCTCCAAATGCAAGTTTTAGTAACATCGATATCAAAACCATCCCCTAAATGTAAAGAAGGGCCGAGAGTACACCTCAGCGGTGGAAGTGCTGGCCTTCCCAAACCTTTGTGTCATAGTCCCAGGAATGGCAAGAACAAAGCCAGACAAAAGCCAAACAACGCAGGGTGACAACAACCACAGGAAACAAGGGCAAAACCTCCAAACAGACAACACCAAAAGCAAAACAAAACAAAAACACTCCACGGGGCCAGCGAAATGGCTCAGCAGGAAAGGGTGCTTGCCACCAAGCCCAAGAACATGAGATCCATCCTTTGGAGTCACATGACAGAAGGGGAAGGCCCCACAGGTGTGTACGTGTGTACGCGCACACAGACACTAAAATAAATGGAAGAAGTTCAGTGGATTAAAAATATTCATAAAAAAAAAGAGGAATAGAAGTCAGAGGTGTCAAATATAATTTTGGAAACAAAATTTAAATTTTTAAAAAGCAAGAAATCCATTTGCTGTCTACAGCACAGCAGGGAATGCCGCAACTCCGGCAGGAAGTAACGCATTCCAGGAAGTTACAGAGTGAGATGGAGGAACCGCTCTGAGAAAAAGCCACGGTGACTCAGGTAAAGAAGGAAAAATGAATAGGTTAATTAAGAGGCAAAATTAATTTTTTCCAATTGATCTCCTGAATTCTTAGCATCCATTAATAATCAAGTAAATAATGGCTGCCAATGAACTCGTGGTATGTGTCAATCACTGTTCTCTAGGAAGGGCAAGTCTCCCGACCACCTTTGACCTTGGCAAGCACTTAACAATCCCTGGAGAAAACGAAATCTTCAGTGCTCTGAGTGCGGAAGTCAGAAAGATCAGCAAATTACCTTGCCAGAAAACGAAGTTCGCAGACTCAGCGTGGCAGGCGGAGATAGGTGGGTGGTGGCTGACCTGAGGGAGGCAAAACACAGTTTGAGTACATAATTTGCTGGGCCGACAAAGCCGTTCCTTTTCCCTTGACTGAGCAAAGGGGCAGCATCTTAGCTTGAACAAGCATGTCCTCAGGGGTCACTCTCGACATAGGTGCTCCCCTGTACTCTGGTGGGGAGGAAGCTGGGAAGGGAAGCCTCCAGAAGCTTTCCTGGGAGCAAGGCCCACGCCGAAGTGTTGAGTCAGGACAAAGGCACGATTTGAACAGTAAAAAATAAAAAAAATAAAAAAAAAAGGGACGTCTGGGAATTGCATTTCCCCCAAGCCATACTGTGTCTGACATGCTATGAAAATTCTAAGCTGTCAAGTCACTGTTTAGGGGTGCTACTTCTAAGTAACACAAAAACATGTCCCCCTGTGGCTTGGAATTAAGAGTCATGAATTCCAGACTCTTAAGTCACTGATGAGGACAATTCAAGACGGTTCTTTTTAAAAAAAAAAACAAAACATTTACTTATTAATTTATTGTGCGTGTGCGAGCGCAGGCACACACACACATGCTCATGTGTCCTGGCTCATGCCTGCAAGTGTGTGACTAGTTTGTGGGAGGCAGTTCTTGCCTTCCACTTCTAGAGACGGAGCAGCCAGTGCCCTGACCCTCTGAGCCATCGCACTGGCCCCTGAGCTACTTCTTGAGAATTCTGTCTCTGGAGAGCAGAGCTAGGCAGGGCCAATGAAGAAAGTTTACCAATTGTTCGGGGCGTGTGTGTGTGTGTGTGTGTGTGTGTGTGTATGTGTTGGGACTGTGGAGACAGTTCAGTCCGTGAAGCGATGGCGGTGTAAGTACAGGGATCTGAGAGGCATCTGTAATCCCAGCACTAGGGGAGGAGACAGAGAGATCCTTGGGGCTCACTGGTCAGCCAAGCTAGCCTAATCAATGAGTAGCAGGCCTCAGAAAAACAATGAAAGCATGGTAGATGGCACGCAGGGAACAGCGGGGGGGGGGGGGTTCTTCCGGCTTCCACATGTGCACACACAAACACAGACACGCATACAAGAACACACACACATTCGAAAAGAAAATCTGTTTATCATCATACACACACACACACACACACACTCGTTGTTACATCCAAGAAAGGATGATCTTCATCACAGAGACTGCCACTGGGGAGTACCATAGCTTGTTTTATCCATCAGTTAAGAAGCTAAACACAAAATGGTGGCTGTGATCCCTCTCTTCTCTATCTCAGCACTCAGAACTGCACCAAATCAGTTCTTATAAAAACAAACAAACAAACAAACCAAAAAAAAAACAGTCATGATGGCCTGGTGCTTCCAGAAATTTCTGTAACAGTCGCTGTTAACAGCGGTCTTTTTCTATTTATCTACCCAAGGTCTTTCCTACGAACAATATGGAGGCTCAAACCAGATAGGTCAAGTTTCCCAAGCCACAGCTTTCAAAGAGCTAACCAAAACCCAGTAAGTCCCAGTGTGCCTCCGTGCCTTACAGACTTCAGAACTAAGTGCTAAGCAGCCGAACTGTTCTGAAAAAAACATGGCATCGACTACTCAATACTGAGCTTTACCGGTCATGAGCAGGTGTGTAAGGAGAAGGGGGAGGTGTGGCAAGTCCACCCGTGCTGAGGAGCTTGCTTTGCCATATATGGAGAGCTAGCTGAGGGACTGAAGGATCCCCCGGCATCCTGCCTCAGCCCTAACTGACAGACTGGAGAGCAACAGACTGGAGGAAAACAGACAATGATGAAAATAGCATCCACACCTTCGGATTACTCAATGAACTGAAATCCCAGCTACGGGAAGTAGGAGGTGGAACCCTGCTGTTGTTTGGTGTGTCTTAGTTCCCCATGTGCCCTGTGACGCCACAAGTTTTGGCCACTTTCCCCTGCAGTTTTAGAGCGGAATTTTTCCCAGCTCAAGAACCCAACTCCTATAATCAAGGCAACTGCCCGCTTCTCTCTGTTGTTAGTTTTGAAAGTCCAACCCGTTGGCGACACCTCGCATCACAAAGTGCGCCGTCATCCTCCTTCCTCCCGTGAGAGAGCTCTCAAAATAGTCCAGTCGACTTTTAAACCTTGGGATTGCACACAACTGGAAGATGACAGCCCTCCTCCGACCCCAGTTCTCTACCTACCTGACGTGTCCCACTAGGGAGTGGGAAAGGAGCCGTGCGATGTGGGAGGGCGCAATACTGCCATCATCAAGAACTTGGTCCGTTCGTGAAAATCACCAACTACAAACATCAAAGCCAACTATGGTAGACTACTTGGTGCCTGCTTTATAATAATTTAAAATCCGACAAAACGGGCAAGCATGTTGTTCATACGGAAGGCCTTTGGAAGATACCTCTCTATATAAGGAGAAGCATCCTGCCCCAAGGAACTAGAGGGAACCCTGTGGTATTAGGAAGCGTGCACTCATTTTATAAGAATTCAGGTATGATCTTTTAAAACTGGGATAGCAGATTAACATAACAGCGGTCAGCCAACTGCCTTCAGATGAGTCCAAACGATGTCTTTGATGTCTTTTTTTTTTTTTTTTAAATTTCTTTTACATTTGTTTGCTTGTTTATTGTGAGTTAGCATTCGGAGGTCGGGAGAGAACTTGCAGGCATCAGCGTAGTCGTGTGTGTGTGTGTGTGTGTGTGTGTCTCTCACAGGAAGCGAACTGATAACATCAGTACGGCAGGCAGGCACCTTATACCGTGTCATCTCGTGGTGGCCAGTAGCTTCGTGTCTTCATAACCGTATTTAATACATTAGGAAACGGGCTTTCAACACAGAACACCTGCTGCCCGCTACTTCCCAACTGTTGTGCGACCGCTTGTCCCAGACCCCATGTGCTTTCTCTCTCTCTCTCTCTCTCTCTCTCTCTCTCTCTCTCTCTCTCTCTGTGCACCCAGCAGGGTCTGCATCCAAAGATGGCTCCGGTGCCTCCTAAGGCCACATCACATCATTAGCGTGCCTTTTCGTGACCACTTAGAGAAAAAGAAAATCTTCTGCCTACAGCCAGACCAGAAGCCATCAGCTGAGGAGAACCGTGACTGCTGGTGAGGGGCAGGGCCACTGGGAATCTGATCATGCTCCAGCGATTATATGAACAACACAAAATGGACTTGTTTTGTTTTGATTTTTGGTCCCCTCACTTTCTTCTTCCTTTTTGGGGGAAGGAGGGGATGTCACAGGGGAGGGTGTAGACATGGGAGGACTGGGAGGTAAATGGAGTCAGGGCCCATGATGTGAGATTTCCAGATACTCAATTAAAAAACGGTCATTGTGTACCTGTTGAAACTTCAAAATAGACATAGAATCTGACTACTTTTCCTCACCCCCACTGCTCCTACCTTGTTCTGTGCCTCATTGTATCATGCTGGATCCTTATGATACCCTCCTGACGAGGCTGCTAACATCTGCTCTCAGTATCTTCAGCTGTGAACACTAGAAGATACAGGCAATCTGAAAAATCTGGTCCTAGGGCTTTCTCTTTTGAACACCTGTAGAAAGGGCTCATCACAGTTGATACTTAACCTTTGCAGCCAAAGCCTCTCTATGCACGTGGGGAGGCAGCAAAAAAAAAAAAAAAAATGCTGAGTCTTTGCTAATTGTTTAGTCTTGATTCCTTTTGAGGTGAGAGTGGTGTTTTTCATGGTCCCATACCCAGAACAATACACACGAAGGATATTTTTTACTTCCATGATCAACAATTCCAGTACCTCTGAGCCTAGTAACTAAACTTTTAAAATGACCCCAGAGGAGTGGTAGGAAAAGGACATGAGGGAAACAGGGTCTAAAATGCCCCCAGAAGAGTGGCAGGGAAAGGACATGAGGGAAACGGGGTCTGTTGTTTAGCATCACTGCAGACACCAGAAGCTTTGCTCCTCCAGGCCACTGTCTCCTTACCTGTGGCTGACCCTTGGGGGGTCCTGCCACTCTGGGCAATCTGGAGATCAAGCGTGACCACACATTTCAGAGGCAGAAGGCACTATGCAAAACACTCGACTGTGATAAGGATAATGAGGACAAGAAATGGTTTCTGACCACAAAGACACTTCCTGCAACGTGTTAGCATGCCTTTTCCATGAGCAACAACATGGAGAAAGATGCTTTGATCCAGCTGAGCTCCAGAACAGCACTTGCTTGTCTTCCTGGGATTCTTGAGCAGGAACAGCCATAGCAACTGAGTCGCAGGCCTGGAGGAGAGCGAGTCCCCACTCTCCCAGTGAGAGACTGTTAGCTAGGAAAGTCAGTAGAAGATGCAGCTATCTTGGGCCTTTAGCTTGGAGATATGACTTCCATCCAGTCTTTTTTAGGAAAAATTCTCCACGTGTGTGTGTGTGTTTATGTATGTGCATGTGTGGACGCAGGCTTTTGTGCACAGAGCTGAGGTGTGCCCAGCACCCCAGGAAAAGGATTCTCTGACTTCAACCCTGACCACTTCTAGGGCAGAACAAAGACATATTTTTCACATTGTATACTCTCCTGTGATTATAATCCTGCTTCCCAAGGAACCTACTAATGAGGAAACCCACCTCAGTCTCAGTAAATGCATACAGTGGTATCATACAAGTTCTGTCCCCAAGAGGCTCAGCTTTTCTTGGGTGCACTAAAAGCAGCAGCCATTTACACCATAAGGCTAAAATCCAGACAGATGTTACGGATCTGCCCCTTTCGGGGCCAGTTTTCATTATGACAGCAAAGCCCACATGTGGCTGGCTGCCTGAGGCTTGCTCTGTCTCACCCACAGCGCTCTGTCTCGACTAGCAGGGAGATACAATGTATCTTATTTTACTTCCTGTGCTTTCTTCACTCCTCTTCAACCAGTCTTCACTAACTCTACATTTAAGGGTATTTAAAAATTCTCTACCGATATGAGAGCAATAACCACTAACCATGCATTCTTTCATGCGAGTGTATCGTTGTCACAGCGTCCACGAGCCACACACTGCCATTCCCGCTGGGTGAAGACCCAGCCGAGGCTCCAAGGGCTGAAGTTCCTTATGCAAGACCGCAGACTGAGCAAACGGAAGGCCCTTCCTATGCTGCAGACAGTGGCCAGCCTTCTTTGCTCTCCGTCTTGGGATCCAGCTCATATAACTAAAGACTAAGGTATGTGCACTTAGAGTGTTTGGTGATCTCTCTGGGTACGTGAGCGCTTGCCCCTTGGGCCCTGGTCCTCCTCTCCTGGCAGATCCCATGACCAGCGCCACCCCTCCAGGGCTCCAAAAGTGGCCATTCACCTTTCCACAGCTCATGCCCTTCTCCCTTACAGTCCCTTCATCCTGCCCTGATTGTCAGCTATAGTTTGGGGCTATTTTTGGCTCTTCTTTTTTTTTTTTTTTTTTTTCCATAAGAGTTCATATAACACCATGGTAACCAAATCATGTTTTCATTTATTCTCATTCCATTTTAAGTTCAGCATTTAAATAACCCAGCTGAATCTGAACCAGACGGGCTACTGCATCCCTTAACTACTGGCTTAGCCCTCAACTCCCCGTACTAAGCAAGATTTACCTTATTTTCACCTGGGAAGCCACTGGCAATATGCTTTGGGGCTTTGTAGATTCACTTTCCTCTGGAACAATTCCAGGGAACGGAAATGGTCTGGGTTTGGTTTTTGGGTTGTCTTTTTTGAGACAGAGTCTCACTAGGCAGCCCAAGCTGGCCCAGAACTGTCTATGTGGCCATGACTTTGACTTTGGACTCTCAATCCTCCTATCTGAGGCCTTTGAACAGTAGGACTCCAGACTACAACACATCAAGACAAGCCTCAGACTCATCAGTTTCTTGGGAGTGGGCGTGGTGGCTGTGAACCTGTCATCCCTTTATTCAAGAGATTGGGGCAAGAGCTGCGTGTGTTTCAGGCCAGAATGCATATGTAGTGAGATCATATCTCAAGGAAAAAGAAAGACAGAAGGGTGGGGGCCAGAAAAGGAAAGAAAACTCCAAGTTCACCGCACCTTCTCTCCCACCCCTATAATGCAAATCCACTGACAAAAATAACCAGAAGGGAAAGACTATTTTAGCAACTCACACCCCCTCTTTATCCTCAGTTTTCTGGGAGTTGGGAGAGAATTATATCACAGTAATGATGGCTAGCCTTCTGGGAGGTGAGAAAGGGTGCTTCTCGCCTTTCTACAGGTAGGCTTTCTATTTCAGCAGAGGGAGCGTTCCCCATGGGCAAACACATGAGGTATTCACCCCCCAATGCATGCTGAGCCCTCACGCAGCGACAAGGACAGAGGACAGGGCTCTCGCAGAACACTCACATTTCCCAGACCTTCTCTCTGTCCACAGGACAGTCATGACGGCCATCACTTCCACTTTAAAGAAGAAAGCGAAGCTCAGAGGAGCTCAGTACCCTGCCTGAGTTCTAGGGCCTGCAGGAAGCAGAATGCACCCCTGCCCTCAGCTGCTTGGCTCCAGACCTTCCATGCTAACTTGTGTGGCAGCACCTAACGGACCTCAGGCCACATAAGGGCAACACGTTTATCTGTTAGACCAGGACAGGGACTCCTGTCTGTTCCAGCAGGCATCCCATACCACTGCCGGGTCTGGGTTTCTGCAATAGTACCAGGCAAAGTAAACATTAAAAGAAAAAAAAAAAGATGCATAACTTGTTGCTCTGAATAATAAACACACGTGAGTGATTCCTTTTGGGTAAATATCTAAACCACTGCACTGATGTGGCAATGGCCACACTGAGGGCCAGTCGGGCTCCAGAATGGCGGTGCCAAATGTTTGGGCACACTTTCAACCTCTAAGTCACACTCTTGGCCAAGGTTTTGTGGCCTTGGCACATCCTCGTGCTGACAAGCTGAAGGAGAACAAAGGTGGTGGTGGTGCTGCTGCTGCTGCCGCACATAACCAGGCAGGTGCTCAGCATTACCGAGGCCTGTGTGGCGTGGGTGGCGGCTGGGCCTCCATGGGGAGAGAAACGGATGCTGGCTTTACGATGCCAAGCCTGCAATTATCTCCGTCCTTTCGAAGCCAGTGAAGGGGGAGGGGAGAGAAATATTTCAGAAGCACGTTTAACAGCAGGCACGGCAGCCCTCTCAACACACACAAAGGGCGCACATCACCTGCTCGGCAAAAAACTGGAAACCCTTGTCCTGTCGGATGCACTCGTACGTTTCTCCAAGGACGGGGTTGAACGGCTTGCTCCCTGCCCGGAAGTAGCTGGACGCGTATGCAGAGATGGCGAAGGCGGCCACGTACACCTGGGAGCGGAAGCAAAGGCCTGGTTTACTTCTTCTGTGTCACCAAGAAATTTGTCATTAAAAAGTTAAAAAAAAAAAAAAAAACCCTCTATTTCAGAAAGACAAGGACCAGTCTTTGGTTTAAAGACAATTCAACCAATTGGGTTTACATTTTTAATTGCAGGTTTAAATAATGTTCATTTGGGTCCAGAGATGATTCTACCAGTTTGAACTGCCCACTTATTTCGGTGTCTGAAACCTGGAAGGCAAGATCTGAGTGAGGTGATGAAATTCATCCAACAGCATGTCAACGCTGAATCCCCTATGTGCAGCCAGGCAGAGCCATAATCCCAACATCGGGGTATCAGGGTAGATGGTGAAAGAGAAGACAAACAATCCCCCAAATTCAGAAATACGCACAATACACTCAACCAGTCACCGAAAACTTCAAACTCACACTGACCAAAGGAACCCTGCGAGCCATTGGTGCACCCTGAGAAACCATAGAGTAAAGGCAATTTGAAGCTGTGCCTTTCTGGGAGGAAAACAGAGGTGAAGGAGGAGCAGGAAGGGAGAGGGAGAGGGAAGAGGAGGATATGAGGGGAGGAGCAAGGAGGGCGTGTGAGAAGATGAGAGAAAAGGGTGGGAGAGGATGAGGAAGGAGGGGAGGGAGGAGGAAAAAGAAGGTAGGAAAAGGGAAGAGGAGGAGGGAAGAGAGAGGAGAAGGGGGATGGAGGAGGAGGGAGGAAGAAGAAAGCAGGGGAGAGAGGAGGAGGGAGAGGGGAAGAGGTGGGGGAGGAAGGATAAACTATATGTACACATGGGATTAGCAAAATCCTTTCCTGACCTTCCCCATGAAGATGCCAGCATGTTCTTCAGCTCCTTTTCCAGAGCATCACAGGAAACAGACTCGTCTGTATTTTGTTGTCCCCCCACCCCCGCAATGTTACACGAAAGTAGTAACAGAGAGATTGTTTTTAATACCGGCTAGTAACAGTCTCAACATTCTTCTCCCAACATCCTATGAGGTCTGCTACACTCTGCAAGTCTCACCTATCAATGGCTGTGTGTGTGTGGAAGGGGGGGGGGTTCTGTGTGTAAAGTGTGTCCTGTGGATGTATGTAAGCACGCATGTGCAGGTGAGAGGTCAGCGTAGGTGTCTTCCTCAGTTGCTTCCCATCAGGTTGAGACAGGTTCCATCACTGAACACGGAGCTCACTAGTTGGCCTGTAGTATCTGGCCAGCAAGCTCCAGGCATCTGCTTGTCCTGCCTGGGCTAAGGGTCCCCCTCCACCGGCCCTTACACAGGTGCCGGGATCACACTCATGTCCTCCGCAAACACGTTACCAACCACGCCATCTCCCGATCCCTTCTGCATTCCTGAAACTCCCACACCTGCTTCCCTTGCTCAGCCTCCTCCGCTCAGCCTCCTCCGTTTCTGACCCACCAAACAGTAAGCTCACACTTCCCTTGAGTTCCCTTTAAAATGTAAATAAAATACAGGGCAGGAGAGGTGGCCCAGTAGAGCCACTTGCTATAAGAGCACTTACTGTTCCTGCAGGGGACCAGGGCATAGTTCCTGGCACCCACCTGACATCCTCTCTGGCCTTTGAGGCCTCCTACACATATGCAAAAATACATTACTAAATCTTGAAGGAAAAAAAAAAATCCTCAAGATACAACAAAATAAAAACCTAATGTTATCCATGATGCTGGGAAGTAAGGAGCAGCAGGCAGAACAAAAGCTTCCCTTTGGTGACACAAAGGACCTACACAGGAGAATGTGGTGATGCCAAAGGAGGATAGGAAATGTCTGGGCTGTGGCTTTGGCCCTTTGGTTGTGCTCAGGACACTTAGTCTTGCCTCAAAACTTTCTTATTCTTCTTTCGTTTTGCTAGACAAAATAAAATCTGATATTATAGTTCATGTTGGTTGGCAGTTGCCTCAATTCTCCTGCCTCAGCTTCCCTAGTACTGCAGTTACATTCTCAGTTAGTCCCAGACTAACACCGATCCCCCTGCCTCAGCTTCCCCAGTGATGGGAATACAGGTGTGCACCACTGTGCTTTCCCCAAACTTCTGTTCAAGGTCAAGCACAGCGATCAACTGCTGAATATCTTAAAGGTTCTACACTGCCATGGGAGTGAGACACACTCAAGACTGTTTTCATGTTCAAAGTGAATCATCTTCTTTGAGGCAAGCTGCCATAAATGCCGACTTTTACCGCTTGCCTTAGAAGCTTCCTGCCTCCTGTCTTCAGCACTCTCTGGGGAAATTTAACAAAAAGGGCAAAATCACAACTTGTGGTTTTTGGCATTTATGATCATTAGTATCAAGAGAGAAAATGTCTTTGATGAAGACCCCAGAGATCAGGCAGAATGGCAACAGGATATCTCTTTCCGCCAGGAGCCGAGGTTCCCCTTCCCCCTTTCATTTCCAAAACACGACAGTGAGGAGGGTCCTGGGAGGGGTCGGAACTGCAGGCTGTCTGGAGTTCCAAGGGGTCTGCACCCTCTCTCCCAGGGAACTGGGGGGGGGTGTAGAGAGAGAAAGGAAAATTTTTGGTATAATGGTGTAAAATCACCTTCTCAGAATGATGTTTTCCAAAGGCGTTAGGAACAAATGGGATAATTCCAGAAATAAACAACCTTCCCAAGGGAAATTTACTCTGGATGAGGGAAGCAGCTCAAGAAATTAAATTCTGTCCACCCAGGGTAGTAAAAATAAACACAGATAGCTTAAAGCCGTGTTTTCCAGCCAGGCCTATCAGAACCATCAGATGGAAACTTCTGGAGAAAGAGCAAGCACCCGGGCAGCAGGAAGGGAGGCCCTTGCTTCCCTACTGCAGTTTCTGGTGACTTGACTGCGGACAGCCAGGCAGGGGAGGCCTGGATAGCCTCTGAGAAATGGCCATCTCTGTGTGGAGCAATCGAAACGAGGACTGGGGTCTAGGCTCCGGGCTCCAAAGGGCTCAGGAGACGGGAGACCAGCGGCGGGGGGGTGGGGTTTACCATCCTCTCCAGGGGACTGGGGGTGCGCGCAGCCTTGTCCAGAAGCTCGCTGTATTCCAGCTCCTCGCAGAGCCGCTGCAGCGTGTTGAGGGGCTCGTTGAGCTCCACCGGCATGGCCACCTTGGACAGGTCTTTGCCAATGTTGTTGCGCAGGATGCTCCACACGCTGACGCTGCTGGTGTTGGGGCCCGGAGCCGGCAGGCAGGTCCGCCTTTTGGATCTGGCCTCTTCACTACTTTCGAGAACAGGCCCTGAAAGGGAGGGGTGGGGGATGGAAGGGGGGGATTTGGATGACACCGGGAAGCTTTTGCTTTTATTTCACCATTTAAAGAGATCCATGACTATAACCTTCTCTGGCAAGTACCCACTGTCCTGTCAGGACTTCCCAGTGTAGTTCGGGAAGCTAGAAACCAGCAAAAGAATTCTGAGCAATTAAATACCAAACCTCAGGGCTAGGGTGTAGCTCAGCAGTAAAGCGTGTGCTTATGCACCAACCAGCCAGCCAACCAACCAACCAAGCAAGCCCCAGAACTCCTAAATAAGTAAATGTCCCAAGCCAGCTCCTCACCGTCCCCACAGTCACAATGAGAACGGAAATCGGGCCTCTACGCCAGGAGCAGGTTAGACTGGTATAAACTTGGAAACGTAAACACATCAAACTCTGAAAATCAACTCTGTGTTTGCTGTTTTGAGATATGGTCTTACTCTGTAGCACTGGCTAGCCTCAAACTCACAATCCAGTACATTTCCAGTAGTGGGATGACACACTACCTACTGGCTAAACTGTATTTATTCTAGAAAAACAGGACAAGTGGTTTCCATCAATTATTCCACCAACTCGGATATCGTCCAGTTACATTTGAGACACTGTAAGTCAACGAGTTCTCTACCTGTAATATTCATACTGCATAGGCTTTTTTTTTCCCCCTATTTTATGATTTGCTTATACAGCTGTCTAAAACACTTTGCAGTTATTTAAATTTTTCAATTGTATTTTTAGTGATTGTAAAAATGTTTCATCTTACAGACACATCATAATGTACTGAATTGCTCGTTACTGTTAGGCCATTAAGTTTTTCTCAAAATGCTCAGCTACAATGTAAAAAAAAAAAAGAGGGGGGTCAAAGAAAACCATACAGCAGTCAGCAGAAGCGGGTTCACAAACAAGATACGTGTCTGGTCCTCCGATCATTTCTCAGCACACACAGGTGAGGACTGCCATGACATGAGAGGCTACAGAGGCTGTTAGACTTTGGTTCCTAAGATTCTAATGTTATTTTAAAGGCAACTGAGTAGATGTGGGATTTTCCCACCCCCAAAGCTCATGTGTGGAAGCCCCAGTTCCCCAGCTGATGGAGCCAGTTACCAAGAGCTGCTGGGACCAGGAGATCCCTGACCTGATCAGTGGGTTGATGCATGACTTGTGCTTTACAGTGGGTGGACAATGGGTGGAGGCAGCGGCATGGGTCCTAGGGGCTGCCCTTCTCCTGCCTCTCCTTCTGGGCTCCATGTGGTGAGCGCTCCTTTCCTGCTACACATCCCCACAGACCACAACAATGGGGCAAAGGACCTGAGACCGAAACTGCTAAGTTCACAACTCGTAAGAAGCCATTCCTCCTCTAAGCTTTTCACCTCCGGAGGCTGTCACCGTGACAAAGACACCAACTAGCTTAGGTGTACAACATTTTCCACAGGACAAGAGCAGCCGTGACCATCCCTCTTCAGAACCCTTTCCAAGCTTGATTTTATCTGCTTATTGCCTTCAATCACAGTACTCTCAGACAGGGACATTTATATATATTCCAGGCTAGACCTGAGCTTGTGATCCTCCTGCCTCAGCCTCCCTAGCGCTGGGATTCCAGGTACGTGCCTCCACGCCCAGCAGCACTGTTTGTTTTAAATGTTGTTCAATTGTTAGGAAGACACTATTGGCTCCTGATTTTGAATGACACCAGAGAACTTCCTGGTGTGCTGTGTGATACTTTTGTGAGCACTTCTTCTTCATCCTATAGAGACTCCTTCCCTCCCTTCTGTTTTTAGGTCTATTTCTACAGTTTTATCCTGGCTTGGCATTTACTTTTAAGCTTGGTCCATGGAGGTTTTGGTGAACGAAGTGCTTACATTTACAGTGTAAAACTGCCCACCTCTGCCTCGTGCTCTGACAGCTCCTTCCTGTCCTGTATCTCTCTCTAAATGGCATCTCTTCACTGCACTGGTGAATAGACAAGACACCACTTTCTAGTGTATGCTCACTTATAATACATAAACACTCAACATTCACTTATTAAACAGTCAATCCCTGTGAACGAAGAGGCAGCTCTGAGGAACAGAAAAGCCTAAAACTCTGGTCATGCTGTGTAGTTAGTCGCATGTTAATTTAAGCATCCAGCTAAGCTCCAAATTTACATTAATTGGTTATATGGGCAAAATCGGACATGGGTGCATGGCTGAATGTGACTGTATCTTTAGAAACCGCTTCACAAGCAGTCTCACAGTTTCGTTGGTTTACTAGTCTGACGTTTCAAAGACTGCTGCTCTACCACCAAAGCTCACACACACCCTGCTCTCCAGGCTGTGGTGTTGGGGTTGCCTCAGCCTCTGATGTGTATTCTTCTTCCCCTTTAGTGTATTTCTCGAAGTAAACACTGGTTATCCCCGTTTTACAGATGAAGAAAGTGAGGCACAGACGAGGGACTAGCACACATAACCAGCAAGGAATAGAGCTGGGGCTGGTACTTAAAGATGCCCTTCAGTCCATATTCTCATCTACTCCTGGGGAACGCAGCAACAGGTCCTGCCATATGACCTGTGCTTTTTTTTTTTTTGGGGCGGGGGGGATACTGACAGGAAACTCCCTAAACACGAAGTGTCTGCGGCACACCCTGAGGAATTCTAGCATAATAACTGAAGAGCACTGTGGTTTAGGTTTTTTTCCTTTTCATCTCTGACTGTTGAATGACTATTTAGTAAAGCAGTGGTTACTTCCTAACCACTATATGCCCAAATAACCATACAGAGAGACTGGGATTTATTTAATTAGCCTAGAGCACAATGCTGCACAATAAGTACTCCATCCTAAACCTCCAAGCTTCTTTCCATTCAGATTTCCCACATTATACTTGCTTTTTAATCATATCCTAGGTTCAGTTCATTTCTCCCCCAAAGTTTCCCAGTCCTCTCCTACAGGAGCCACCCTTCACCCTATCATTTCTCCTCCCCTCCATGGACCAGGATGTCCCACCCTATTCTCTGTATTGCCCAGCATTGGCTAGTTGTCTATTATTGGCCATACAGAAAACAATTGGTGGTGTGTTTATACAAACTTGAGACAGGAGATGGTTAGAATAAATATCACAATGCAATCTCTGGGTTGAAACCAGATAGTGGGGTACAGAAATCAGCATTTGAATGAACCAGGGTAAACTATACACCGTCCACAAGAACACATGCCAACACCTGATACATATCAAACAGCCTGGACTTAAACTCTCTGTGTATCCAAGGATGTCCTTGAATTCCCAATCTCCCTGTTTCTACCTCCCTAATCCTGGGGCTATAGGAGAATACCATCATGTCTGATTTTATGTATCCCTGGGGACAGAACCCAGAACCCTCATGCATGGTTAAGTAACTGAGCCACACCCACAGATAGAGTGTGTGGTAATTCTTATGTCCCACTGAGTTGTGGGACATAAAGCTTATTTCTGCAGGCATCTTTCCAAGATGTCTAGAAAACCTGTCACCATCAGAGACTGTCCGAAGAGAACTGAGGGGCATCTGTTTCTGGTGTTCAAGTTCAGATGAAGGAAGTTCTGCCAGAAGTTCTCAAGTGCTTGAGCTAAATAGCTATAGACTAAGCTAGAGGAGTCTGACCACCTCCATGCTTATCTCGGCTGCTGCTAAGGCAGCACAGCTGTTGTCTATGTTCTGGACCAACATTTCCTTCCTGACTCTACCTCTGTATCCCCTTTACTCTGTGTTCCTCTGACTCCCTCTCGATGGCCACTGAGAGATGGGGGTGGGGTCTCAGCGTTTGTCATCTTCCTCTGTAGCTGGAGCACCATTTCACTGCTCATAGCATTCCCAGCTCAATAAGGGAAAGAGTGAACAAGTGATATTCTTCATGCCCCTTTTCATTCTTTGTTTCCATAGAAAATAACTTGACCTTCTACTTCAAACTCACTGGGTTTTAGGTTTTTCTATCAAGAAGTGAATGTCTACACAGCACAGCATTTTCCTTTCAGCACATGATGCCAAAAGGAGGTTTTGTAGATGGTGGGAAGTTACCCAGCTGCCTGCAGTCCTCAGAGCAGTGGCTCTGTGGTTTTACACAATCCATCATCATAGTTCACAAACATTCGCTGGGCCAAGACACTGAGGTTCAGGCATCGGGTATAGCCTGTCTGCTGTGTACTTATGAAAATGGGTGGTGGGTAGAGCTTTGAGCATTCAATGGGGCAAACCAGAAACCAACATGCAAAATAAGAGACCTATGCAGAGGACCGTGGACCCAGTGGACTCACTCCACGAGCATCTCCCTAACTCAACTATTCTGTTTCCTGAAGTCACAAGCTGCTTAGGATTAGTCAGACACTCCAGGGACACCCACAGTTCAAACTCACATTATGAAATACCTTTCTTTAAGAATTACATTCATTTATTTATGCAGCATTCATGTGCCACTGTGTGTGTGTGTGTGTGTGTGTGTGTGTGTGTGTGTGTGTGTATGTGTGTGTGTCAGGCCTCTCCTACTGTATGGACTACAAGGGTCAAACTCAGATCCTGAAGCTTAGTGGCAAGCACCTTGACCCACTAAGCCATCTTGCCAGTCTCTGAAATACATTTCTCTCTGTTATCATTTTCCTTCTTAGGATCAAGCCATAACCATGAGAAGAGGTAGGAGTACATTGTTTTGAATAATCTGAAGCTCAATACCACTTAAGACTTTTCTGTTATATACGCCCTATCAAATTCTTAAATTATAATAACAGCTCGTACCTGAAGACGAAACACCGTATCCTATATTGCACTTGCAGAGAAAATGCTTAACTGCGTAAGGGAGACTCATACATGAAGTCAGGCATGGTGCTGCCCACTTGTAATCTCAGCCCTGGGGAGGCAGAGACAGAGGATCCTGGGGCACTTGGGCCAAGTGCCAGTCAAGACCCTGTATCAAAACTTAGGTGGACAGCACAGAAGAAGGACACCCAAGGTGGACCTCCAGCCTACATACATACACACACATGTACACACATATGTGAACACATGCACACACACACACACACACACACACACACACACACATACACACTCAGAGTTGCAGGTTTTCAGAGATCCGATCATGCAACACTTACCTAAGGTCTGTCTTTCATTGTCTAAGTCATTACTGAGGTTGTCTAAGGACAGGTTATCACTTATGTCACTGACATATGAATCATCCTCAGAAACCTGTGGGGGAGAAGAGATAATGCACGTGAGAGAGAGCGCGCGCAAACAAGAGCCAGAAAACCTGCTCCAAATGACCAAGCATGCCCTGTCTCACATTACAAACCCACAGAAATAATATGAGGGGCCATTTTCATAGAACGCCCCACAACCTGCCTAGGTAATGCTCACAGCAAAAACCAATCAACCAACCAAACTGGGCTGGGGATGCAGTAGCAGAGTGGTTTCCTCGGATGGGAGGAGACCAAAGTTTGATCCCCAGCACAGGAAAAAAAAAGCAGCAGGAGAAGGAAAGGAGGAATGGGGGGAAGGAGGCAACCCTTAGACAGTCTTGGTTCTCACAGGAAAAACAGACAAAACAATAAAAATAAACCCAAGGTTTCTGCTGTCATCATAAAAGTTCTTATTTTGAAGCATTTCCAGAGCACACCAATACCCGAGTGGCAGAGTTAGCAGCTATTTTTTTTAACTCCTTGTGAAAATAGACTCCTTATGGGAATAAACAAAATTATTTTATATTATAAAAGTATATACTATATGTAATTTATATGTCTCTGTATTTAAATATTACACATAGTAAAGCTAAAAGTAGGGCTTACCTAGTCCAGAGAGTATGGTGCTTTACTCATCAATTTAAAACAATGTTTGTAAGTACAAATTGACATAATAAACATATAAAAAGTATAAAGTATAAAATGTGAAAAGTATAAAATGAGTAACATAAATTAACATGATTGAAAAACACACAGAATATAAAACTCAGAACTAGCAAAGGGAAAGTGCAAAAATTCTAAGTAACAGAAACAAGAGGGAGGCCAAGGCTCTGAATTTCACACCTTCTTTCTAGCCTATTGTATCCCGTTGTGCTTGGGGGTGTATTATAAGCAGACCCTCAGAAGGACTGGTCAGGAGGAGCCATGGCGTCTAGCATTTTTGTTTTTGAATCTTTACTGAGCAGTTTGGTGAACAAATTCATTAAGGAGATTGGGTAAGGGACACCTGACTGGAAACAGTGTTCAAACCTCGTTCTCTGAAGAGCTAGGAGACAGCAGAACTTCCTGGGCATCAAAGAACTCTGAAAGGGAGTCAGTGATGGACAGCCTGCTCTCATTGGACAGCTGATGCACCAGCGCTCGGCTTTCATCCCCGGAGTTGTCCTATCCGAAGAGCAGAGAGAAAACTGCATGTCTTTACAACAGTCTCAGAGAAACAAAATACACAAAGGACTTAATCGCACAAACACTGGGTCACAGACCCATGCAAACAGGAGACTCAAAGCAGAGGTCAAGCTCCGAAGGTCAAGTGAGCCTCACAAAACAACAAGAACAATGAGAAACAAAGTTCTCTGCCACACGGATACTTCACTTACAGGTTTGAACACTGCTCAGACACATGCCACAAATCTCAAGCACAAATCACAGGGCTGAAAGACTGAGTCCTGTCCCTTATTCTCTACCACTCAGGGCGCTCCCCTCCATTCTACACTCTCCTCGGTGCATGGCTGGCTTCAAGCAGGGTGTCACAGCGCAGTCCCTGGCCAACATGCTGCTTGCACGGAATCCCTCCACAAAGAAACTCTGTTTTGGTCCAGAGGTGCCAATGGCAGCAGATCATTCCTTATTCATGGATGCGTGGGATAAAGTTCTTTGTCTCTCTTCACCCACAATGACTCTTAGAGGAAACAAAACCTTAGGCCCTAGGTATGACTCTAACAATTTTGCAGACCAACTGCTTTCTTTCTCTTATTTCTCCACTCCACTGAGCCCAGACTCATGCTCAAGGAAGGATCCTGGACACTCAGTGAGTGTGCTTCCTATTCTATTTACGAGTCAAGTTTCAACCCCATTCAATGAACGAAACAAATATTTCCAACAGTCCTCAGTCAATCACAGATGAACAAAGAGAACAGACAATGCTTTTGGCTTGTGGGCATGTACACAGTAGACCAGTACCACCAACAGACACTCTGGACTACAGACGTGGAAGGGAAGGGGACCTTGACCCTGATTAGGACTGCTAAATCCTGGACTCCCAAGTGCCTGTCAGCTCAGTACTTGGCTGGCCTGCTAGTGGTTCTGATGTTGCCATGCATCTGGCAAGTGAGGCACAGAAGGATCTGGAAAGGAGATGCCCAGGCAGATACTGTCATGCCAAAGGTCTCATGAGTCCAGGATGATCTGCTCATCTGAACATATACTGGTCCCAAGAAGATCCACCAGAGAGGTGGCCAGCAGAGTTTCCTAACTGATAAACAGCAAGGTGTCCCTTATGTAGAACTGACGTTAGGAACAGAGGGAATTCTGCATCTTCTTTTGGAGTCTCTCCACGCCAAGCCAAGCTATAGATGTAAATACCTTATACAGCCTCTGAAAAGCCAACCTGCCCTCTCTCCTGTAAAGATCTGCTCCAACGATGGCAGCTGCTTTCATTCTTTCTAATTTTTAATTAAAATATATTACATTTCCCCCCTTTTCTCTCTCTAACCTTCTGCATGTAACCCCCTTGCTCTCTCAAGTTCATGGCTTCTTTTCCTTAAACTGTTGACACTCCTACATATATGAATACAACCCACCCAGTCTGCATGTTACCTGAATGTATGTTTTCAGGAATGAACCTGAAATGTTCATCTTAGATCATCAATTGGGGCCTCTTTCTTGGGAAAGACTACTTTTTCTCTCTGTATCCCTTAGGAGCCTGTGGTGATTTACGTAATGTTGAGGCACCCATGAGTTTTGCTCTGCCATATTATCATGTCTTGTGTTTGTCTGGGTCTTGTTTAAGCAGCTACGTTGATGAGACTCCACCCACTAACAGTTGTTCTCTTAAGGGAAATAAACATCTCTCTCCTCCAAAGACCTGGGCACCAGGCTGCCGAGCTGAAGATACTACAGTGCCCGGCAGGACTCCTTAAATGTTCATGCAGGCAAGGGAACCTTCCTGTGGGCCCTGATGTTCAGAGACACTAATGAATTAGTTACTTGTGCTGCTCATTAATTCATCATTATGGATGAATTAATGAGCAGCTGTCACATGACGTATGGAATTTCATGGTGTTCAAAACATCTGGGCTCTGAAACATTTCTAGCCCCTGCCTTTTCTTGGTGTCCCACAATTTTAGCAAATTCATACCGAAAATACCAGATCATAGAAGCCCCCACACTCCAGTACAGCTCTCTTAAACACAGGGTCCGTCACGCATGGCGGCACACGCCTTTAATCCCAGCCCTTGAGAGGTAGAGGCAGGTGGATCTCTTGAGTTAGAGGACAGCCTGGTCTATAAGCAAGTACAGGACAGACTGGGCTCTGTTACATCGAGAAACCCTGTCTCGAAAAACCAAAATAAACAAATATGGGATCTTATTTACTAAAACGGCAACATAGTTTGGCACAGTAACTTCTCCACTGCCGCTCATAAAAAGAATTTTACATCAGAAAAGAATTAAATGCAAAAAGAAAAATGGCAAACACCCATGCCTTTGGACATTCTCTCTCCAACATTTTTATTCACATAGTTTTGTTTTGTGATAACTATGACCACACTATTTACAAGCATTATTTAATTAAATTTCCTCATCAACAACGCTGCAGCAAAATTCACGTTCCCAACAGTAACGTGTTCCATGGATAATTGCAGTATGTGTTTGAAAAATAAAAAACAAAATGTCACTCACTGAGCTGCTAGATATCTTCTTAATAGAAAAATACTGGTGTAGCTGGTCATGGCGGCTCATTATTATAACCGCAGAATGCAGGGGGCAGACACAGGAAGATTGCCCCTGAGTTAGGTGTTTGTCTGTTTTACATAGTGAGTTCCAAGCTAACCAGAGATACAGGGCAAGCCCCTATTTAAAACAAACACACACACACAATCACCTAGAAAAGAGTTGTGTAGTTCTTTGGGTTTTGTTTGTTTTTAAGGCAGGGATCAAACTATACCTAACACAAACCTTGATGGTCACATGTACTTTACACTGTGAGTATGATCTCTGGGCAGAACAAGTCTCTGAGAGAATGAACACCGACTGACAGCTATTGCTTTACCCTGGGGTGTTAGAGGGGCGTGTTCACAATTCCCTGTATCGGAGGTGAGGGTATCTGCGGACTACAAAGCTAGGGAGTGTCCCTGTGTCTCTCTGCACACTCCTTGTTATTTTTCAGAACTATTTCCAGAAGTAGAACTACTTAAAACGTTTAAGACTGTACAAACATGGAATTATTAGTTACTTGGATCTTTAAGGAAATTCTGTTTTCTCTAACACCGTGATTTAGGGGGGAAAAATGTAGGGCTGGTCTACTGTTTTCCTTTTCATTATACTGAATGTCTTTTATTTAAAGTGAGCTGTGGACTGTCATTGTGGGAAAGGCCAGGACACAGGGCTTCCTTCTGAACCCATTTTTCTGTGAGTGTGTAAATATAATCTCGTGCCAATGATATTTCTGTCCAGGTTTCACAAAAGATTTTAACAGAGTTGGAAAATTCCTGTCCCCTGTCCCCTAATGATGACACAGCAGCATAGCGTGACGTGACTCCTATGTGTGGAGATGTTGGCAGGATCGAGCCTACTAAGCCTGGATGTCTAACAGACTGTAGATGCAGGCGTGCTCAGAGCACAGTGCTGATGTCAGTAACACACACCGGCTGCTGGACACTCGACTCAAAGGAAAAGTAGCCAATAGTGAGCCAGGGCCAGCCAGCCTTCCAGCAGGCATCCAGTGCTCCAATCACCAGAGGGGAGACCCCACTGTTCAGAACTACCCATGGGGCAAAGGGCAGAGGCTGATGAATTTACCCCTGCTAGTTTGCAGCCAGAAAATGCAAAATGTAAAAGGGAAGTGGCAAGTATTTTTATAGCTCTAGCATAGTATGGTCAGCAGTGATCTGGGCTGTGTCCACACTCTGTAATATTCACTCACCAGTAAAGGCCACCTGATAGTGACCCTGAATACAACCTAGTAGTTACCCAAAAGTTTTTTGAAATCCCCCAGAAACAAACCCCATAATTATATAGGCCTGGTGAGTGAGAATAATCTGTACCTACTTGTTTCCTGATGCCTCACGTTACTTATTTGATCTTCGTTCACAGAATAAAAACTACTGTCATTCATTAGCCAAGCCTGTTATTTTCACTGAATATATTTTATTAGTTTTTTTAATGTGCCTTCTCATTTTTGAAACATCTTCTCTATAAAAAAGTCAAACTTAGTTGACACTCCTTTTGAAATATTTTATTACTTCCCAGTTTTGAAAAGCCTTATTCTAGCAGTCTGATAAATATTCAAATCAATTTTTTTTTTGTCTCAACGTTTGTATTTAACTTGAATTTCAGCACACAATGAAAGAAAACTTAAGGTTCTTTTCAAATTGCTTTCAGCTGTGCTGACCTAATTTATCGACTAATCTGCCTTTTCCACTGGATTTTGATGCCTCCTTATCCATGATTTCTTTTAGAAGGAGAAATATAAAGCCATGTCCATACCCAAGACCATCATCCCACATCCCAAACACACCACCACCCATTTTAAGTAGGGGACCTTCCAAGCGCACCCCATCTTCAGGCTTAGCACGGCTTTCTCGTTTACACAGAGGTTGAATCGGAGGTGAGAACATTTGCTCTGTCCCTATGAGATGCAGATTTAAATCCTGATTTGATGTTATGAGCTGTGTTTCGGGCGGAAGTTATTTAACTACTCTGGGCTTTACGTTCCCTACTCCACAAAGTCAAGGTCAAGAGTTTGTACAATAATGTCCAGAGTTTGATCCCAACGTAAAAAAATTGAAGCAAAGAAACCCACACATAAATAAATGAACTAAGTTATCTTCTCTTAGATTTTTTTTTTTGAAGTTATAGATGTTGTAATGGTACCTTAAATGGGATTCACTTATTTGTCTGGAACAATATCACTGTAATCTTAGACAAGCCTGGAGCTCACTACCTAACCATGGGCGAGCTTCAAGCAGTCCTTTTCTGCCTCTGTATTCTGAGTGCCACAATTGCACATGTCAACATCATGTTCACTTGTAAATGCCATTTAGATACAGATGCTATTACTCCCACCAGCCACTTGGCCTTTCATTTCTAACCTAAACTAACATAAGATAATATTACCCTGGTGATGTTAGAATATCGTGTTTAGGAATACACAGTAGGAGTGTCTTGAGTGAGTTGAGGTGTCATTTCTAAGAAGAGGGGATCTTAGGGTTCAGGATCCAGGCCCAACACCTGTCGTAGTTCCACTGTCCAGCCCAAAGGCAACAGAGTGTAGTTAACAGAAAAGCGGAAGCCTTTGGGCCAAACCTATTGCTGGGGACTGTCATTTTGCTGTAGAGTGGCCGAGGCTTCTGGGAATCGCCTACAAAGTAACTTGGGGTGCAGGTGAGAGAGCTCAGCCTACAAAGGCACCTGCCACCAAGCCCCATGACCTAAATTCAACCCCAGAACCCACATGGTGGAGAGAAACAAGTCCTACAAGTTGCTGTATTACCCCACAAATGCCCTGCGGTACACATCTGTATTTCTATGTGTAGACGCCACATACATAGTAAATAAATACCAAAAATATGCCTAATAACCAAACATTTAGAGTTAGAAAACACACACACACACACACACACACACAGACACACACACACAAACAAACAGGGTGTAAGGTGTGTTTCAGCCTGTGTGGCCCTTCTTTTTTTTTCTGTTTTTATTTCCTGGAGACAACAATGCCTTTTCTTTGCTGGGAAAATTAATGTAAGTGACTCAGTGAGCGGGGCAGCGGGAAGAATAAGCCATTGGAAATGGAAAGTCTGGGAAGGAGGAAATAAACGAGACAAGCACAGCAACAGCCCGGGATGACGTGGAAGGAACATGGATCATGTTCAAGGCCGTGGGATCACCATCTTGGACAATTCACAGCCTTTCTTTTTTGAGGTTGGTCCCAACACATGCATTATTCTAGACCTGGCATCTGGGCTTCAGCACAGCGTAACACAAACAGCCTGAGCAATGCTCACTAGGCATGCGCCCATAAATGCTCAGCGAAGCTTGTCATAAAGCATGTCAATGTAGTTCACACGATAGTAATGTGTACATAAGCCGTATGAGCTGCCTGGAAATCAGTGCGTGACTGGAGATGCTATGGTCCCTGGTAGCAAATGATGCTCGGAGACGGCCAGACATGGCAAAGACTAGGCCCCTCGTTAGCTGACGTGCAGACTCGAAAGGGCCTGGCTGGTGAATAGGCTCAGGCCTAAAACAGACTGACAGTAGGATAGTGTGTGTTTGTGTGTTGGAGGTGGGCAGACAATTGTGGGTGCCACTCCTTGTGCCTCTGGCTCTGCCTACCTTTCTCTTTTTTAAATTACCTGCTGAGATCAGAAGACCACTTTGCAAAGCTAGGTGTCTCCTTCTGGGACCCAGGGGCCCAACCTGGTGTGCAGGCTTCGAGGGAAACACCTTTACCCCCGGAGTCATCTCACTGGCCTCGCGCCCACCTTTGTTGGAGAGAAGGGACCATGCCGCTGGCCTGAAACTCACTAGGTAGGCTAGGCTGGCCGGCCAGACAAGTCTCGGCCATCAGCTGCCTCCACCTCGCTGGCCTAGGGTCACAGCGTGTACCACCACACCAGTATTTCTCAGTGGGGTTCTGGGAGGTCAAACTCAGGTCCTCAGCATTTTACTGACTGTGCTGCTTCCCCACTTTTCATTTTAAATTATTCCATCTAATCAGTTAGTTAATGGAGAAACTTACACAGCTGAGGTAGTCACGCATCTGAACACCAGAGACACTTACAAGCAGCTGTCACAGTTACTAACCATTCTTACTTTTCAAGGATCACACTATTATTTTCTGAAATCGCTCATTCTAAACACCTCCAAGGGACCATTTGGGGCAAAAAGACCAAGCCAGGAGAAAAGTCTTGTGAGGGTGTGTGCGTGTGTATGTGTGTATGTGTATATGTGTGCGTGTGTGTGTGTGTGTGTGTGTATGTGTGTATATGTGTGTGTGTGTGTATATGTGTATATGTGTGTGTATATGTGTGTGTATGTGTGTGTATATGTGTATGTGTGTGTATATGTGTATGTGTGTATGTGTGTGTGTATGTGTATGTGTGTGTGTGTGTATGTGTGTATGTGTGTGTGTGTGTGTATGTGTGCATATGTGTGTGTGTGTGTGTGTGTGTGTGTGTAGTGGGGGGTGGGGTGGATTGAATTAGGGCCCGGGAGACAAGTGCCCACTAAGCTGCTATAATATGTTACACCTCAGTAAAAGGCCTTTCTCAAGTGTGTTTGCTGACTAATAGATTTCGACTGTAATGTAGTGTCTTCTTCCCTAGGCTATACAGCTGCGTTCTGAAAAAGGAAAAGGAAAAAAACAAACCCTAAACAAAAACACAACAGGAACAGGAAGAAAGAAGGAAGAAGAGACAGCCAGGGTAAAGACTAGCTGGCTTTTGCAGAGCACACAAAGAAGCCAGGAAGGAACTGGACAGTTTGGGTCACAGAAACTCCGGTTTCTACAGAAATGACAAGGGAAAACACTTGTCTTTCTACAGCTCCCACTCGGGTAACACATAGTGACACTTAGCAAGGGAACGAGGGAAACACAAAAGGGAGCAGGGGCAGTTGTAGAGAGTGCTGGGCTCCATCCTGCCAGCAAAGCTTCCGAACATAAGAGTCCAACCAGCGCTGGGCGATGGCAGTAGCCAGGGGAGGCCAGAGGTGTGGCCCTCACACAAGGGGGCAAAGCAGGGAGCAACTGGACAGAGGGCACCAGGGACAGGCGGCAGCTGCAGGGAACGGTTACTGGACAAGAAACCTACCCACCTCTGCCAGGTTGTCCCCCGGCTTGGGAACAGCGGGCGGGTCGAGGAGCAGAGACTCCGCATGGATTCTGCATAAGCGTTCTTTAAGATCTGTGTTTTGTGCTAGGGCCTGGAATATGTTAAAAATAGCAGGGCTTTATTAGTAAGTGGATGGGCCAGGAGGAGGCAGCAGGAGACGGGGCGGAGCGGTGAGTCCCTGGGTGGGACACCCCGGGGCTGTACCTGCGCCTTCCTCATTGCTCTCCCAGGAGGAGGCTGGGAATGAACAAGTGAGCCCAGGATACTCCTTGCTATTTCATCTCCAGAGGTGGAAAGAGGTTAGTAAGGTTGGCAGAAGGAAAGCACAGACAACATCGGCTCTGAAGACGGGTGACTCGCGATCAGCGCCCCTTTCTCCAGCCAGGATGGTCTCTGGGACAGCTCCCCAGGCCAACCTAGTGATTGCTAGCTCGCTCCTCCTGTCCTTGACAAGAAGCCAGTGGGCATGACCCAATGTGATTTACTTATCACTCCAGCTGCCACGGACCTTAGAAATGTGCTGGTGACTTACTCATTTGGGGGAATAAAAACGAACAAAACAACCTTGCTTATACACCTTAAAGCTAAAAGGACCATGGCACAGAGAGAGGAGGGCATGTGTGAGCCAGGAGCAAAAAAGGAACCGTGTGCGACCTCTTCACTTCCTCCAGGGATAGTCCCATCTCCTATTTCGGCCTCTCTGCGAGGACTTGGCTCACAGCAAAAGCAAGACGGCACTTGTTCCATGGTGCGGCCCTGTGCATTCGTTGACTATAAGTCTGTCCTTCGGAGGGGACGAACTCTCCTGACCGCCTTGTCTGCCGCCTGGATCCCTGCAAGGGCTCCATTTACCTCCTTCCTTATTATCACTGCTGAATGTAGGGGACATGGTCTCACAATGGAGCCCAGGCTGGACTCTTTTTAACACTTGCCTCAGCCCCCCCAAGGGCTGGGATTCCAAGGTCACCATGCCTGGCCACATTGGACATAGGTTATTCTAAGAACCCTTGAATCATTTAAGAAACTCTGAACAAGAACAAGGGTCACGCAACCACATATAACAGGCTCTATGAGGCAACACGTCACTGTTACAGTGGCTAGAATCCGAGCAAAGCCTAGAAATTGTATATACACGTGTTTGTGTGTGTGTGCATCTCAAAATTCAGTATCCATATATCCATTGTAATAGTTCTGTGATTATTCTAAAAAAAAAAAAAATTTTTTTTTTTGAAGCAACAAGTCTTGGGCTAAACCAGAAGTCAAGCCAGAAAAGAAAGAATCATTCCATCTTATCTTACTTCCAAACTGTGAACATGTGAGCAGCTGCATTCCCTAGAAAAGGTAATGTGAAACTAGCCTAGAAACCACGGCTGAGTAAGTGTGGCCAAGCAGATTAGCAAGACGAGGGTAGGCCTTTGTGGGAAGGGAAAGAGAGAGGAGGAGCACAGGAAGGAACTTTAGAGACCCCACGTCAGAGGGGTATCAAAAGCCACTCAGATGGGAACAGTGAGAATGTGTATACCAGGAAGAAATAAACCTTACAGGCTTACAGGGAAAAAAAAAAAAAAAAAAAAAAAAAAAAAAAAAAAGGGCTGAAAGCAGCAACACAGCTGTTCCCAAGGAAGGTCCAAAAGGTGTCTCTCTCCCCCCAACCTTAAGAAAGGAAATGGAGACTCCACAGGTGGAGATTTTCTTTCAAAGCCAGTATAACTAGCATGTGACTTTACATGGGATGTGAGGAGGAACCACGTGACTACAGTGAGGCCAGCCTGAGCGATATGAGATCCTGTCTCAAGAACCAAATCAAACCAAACCAAAGAGCACAGCTGGAATTAGCACTGAGTGAAAGTATCTGAAATATCCGCAAAAGCACCGTGTGCTGGGGGCCCGGGGCTCATCGTTAACAGCATATTGCAACACTAATTAATTAGCAGTACATTGGTAGCAGTACTTTTCTCAGTAGCATGAGAAACAGAAAACATGAATGGACTTTTCTCCCTCCATGCCTATGCTGACTTCTGGTCACGTGACCCTAAAATTAGTTTCTTCCTTCCCCCCCCCCCCCCCCCCTAAAATACAAGCCAGGGGTACTTCAGACAGTAATTCCACATGTACACCTGTTCTTTCTCTTCTCAAAGCAGGAATTCCAAAGAACAAGTGAGAAGAAAGCAGCAAATGCTAAGCTGTTTCCCCGAGTCGTCTGGCTTCTTGAAAGGTCAAGGCTAAAGTATCAGACACGGTCCACCGCTCGGGTAGCATCAGGACCCAGCATACGAACGGAGCCCAGTCATTCTGAGCAACACGTTGAGGCTGAGGAGGAAAAGAAGCATGAGTGATGATGGCTTGCTGAAGGTCATCCGAGGCCGTGGCGGTGGTTCTTCTGTTTGAAGATTCATGACCTCCTGAAAGTCACTTCACGAGATTCGTCTCCGTGTCTCCGAGGGGGAAAAAAAAAAGCTAAAGGTTTTGCACAATTTAATCAAACAAAATAGCATTCAAGTATTTGGAAGAGCATTAAGTAGGATCAGCACTTTGCAGCAGAGACGGAAAATGTGTAAACTGAAAATTTCTCACTGCCACGTGTTATTTATTAAGTCGATCTTATGATGCCGCAGAGCCACAAAAATCTCCCAAATGTCAAACTCTGTAAGCATTAGCCAACAAATGTCTGCAAGACTCCCACACAAACACATAATAAAAGTTCTATGGGAAGAGAAAAGTTGAGTTAGATTGTAAGAAATCAAACTCACAGAATCAAACATTTAAGACAATATTAGCTGCTATGGTTTGGGGTTATTCTGAATACTTCAGTGCTGAAAGGCTTGAATACAAGTTAAATGATTTATTTGGTTTTTCTCCCCCAGATTCAACTCAATCATGAAAATCATCAGTTTTCTATACAGTCATGGAAATGGAAAGCCTGGCCACATTTGCAGACATTTATGAGACAAAGACATGCAACTTACGGATGACAGAGCTTGCTTCAGACCGACGACCTGAGCGGAAGGGGAGGAAGAGTTGTCCAGGTCTGCCAGCTGCTTCAGCCTGTCTCTCTCCGCTGATATGCTATTAAAAGCTGACCTTAAAGCGAAGTAAACTATGAAGATAGAATCATTACAAGAAGGAACAAAGAAGAGGCATAGTTAAAAACAAAATGCAGAAAACTGTACTTCTTAACACAAGACTTTAGTGAAGTTTTTTGAGTTCAGCAAATACACATTCTACACTGATTTTTGAAAACACACTGAATGCGTGGGAGCGAACCCTGATGGAAACCTGCAGGCTACGGGCAATAACATGTAGCACATGGGGTCATTAGTATCAGCCTTCCCTAACCCTGCGTGTGGGAGAGGCCCGTGTGGGTGCAAAACTTCGTGGCTCAGTTTTGCTGTGGACCTAAAACTACTTGGGAAAATAGCACCTCTTAACATTCACTTGTCAATCCTAAGGTCTGTGCCCGTCATGGCATTCCATGACCTTATGACCTAGGGGTTTATGGTCACCACTGTTTGGTTTTAAGTCTCCAAAGGCTGGACGAGTTAAGAACAAAGCCAACTGGGGAAATATGGTATCACTGTATAAGAAGAGAGATACCACACTTCAGCCAGGCGGTCAGAGTCCACGACCAGTGAGAGGCAGAGAAAGTCTGGGTTCCACCTTCTACAGTGCCTTGAAAAAGTCACCACATATTGAAAGCCAGTCAGGGATAAGCAATCAGGATTTGATTATGAGGGTACCACAGACAACTGAACATCCTGTTTTTTAAAACTGGCCTGCACTCAGGCATCAACTTTATAAAAAAATTGCCCCCAATTAAACCGGGCTAAAGAAACAGGACAGCACAAGGCATGTTCATGGGCCAAAGCCTGCACCCTATGGGAGGATGATATTAAAAGACATTTTTCAGAAGTTGACATGGTGAGTGCGAGATCAAAGCGTCATTCCCCATGACACGTCCTGAGTTAGATGACTACATTGGGCCCAAATATACACTAAAGTATAAAGCCTCAAAGAGTGGCATATGTGATACAGAAATCCCATTCTCAAAATTTTCAGAAAAATAAAAACGTGTCTAGAAAGAGAGGGGGATGAGTAACAGCAAAAATATCTGGGTAGAGGGTTTATGGGAGTTCTTTGTTCCATTCCTGATGCTTTTCTGTAAGATCATAATGATTTCAAAATAAGGTACCCCTATTTCTTCCCAGTTGTTCTGGCTGTGCTAAAATCTCCCACCTTTGACTTTAACATTCAGCTAACTCTGCTCAATTTGAAAGCTTTCAGGTTCAGTGAGAACTTACAGCCATAATCTGCTAAACGGCCAAACTGAAGTTTTTAAAACATGAGTGGAGGGCTGTGGCGATGGCTCGGTGGGTAAAGAGCTTGCCGCGCCAGCATCAGGACCCGCGTTAGAGTGCCCAGAACCTGTTTGTGAAGCTGGGTACAGTACTGTCCACTGCGATCCCTGTGCTTCCACTGGGAGACCGGGGGGGGAGGGGAACAGGAGACTCCCCAAAAGTGCACAAGCCAGGTAAATTGTCATACACAGGAGGGAACAAAGAAACCTTGTCTCAAACATAGTAGAAGTGAGAACTGACCTACACATACACACATGCACGCACGCACGCACGCAGATACACACATATACATAGCAAGAGAGAGGTTAAAAGAAACACAGGCAGGGAAGACGGGGTTCTGATAAAATAGGGCACTCCCTAGGGATAAGGGAAAGGTTAGCAAAAGTACGATCATAAAGTCCGCGTTAGACATTATCTTTCCGTTCGCTTCCATTACAGTTTGTTACAGAAGGAAAGGACGGAGACAGGCCTCTCCAGTGACCTGGTATTTTATTAAATTTCACAGGCTTGCATTTCCAGAGGTATTGTTATCCAAGAATGGCCTATTCAGTAATAGAAACTGAATACTCACTACTAACTTGCTTCCTCCATTTCTTTGCTGACTGAAGTTGGGGTACTTAATGAAAGATCTACGGAATTTTCACAATATCCTAATGAAAACAAGAAATTTCTACACACACACACCACACGCAGGCATGTGAACCTACATACTATAGTGCTGCTTTTATGACCAGAAGGGAGGGGTCCATCACTTATTCATTCTATGACCCTGGGAAAGTATCTGATGTGCCTGAACCATAAGTGGAGGGACTGCTAGCATGTACTTTTTAACCAGTAATTAGGACGAACTAAGACAATGCAGGCCAAGTCCTTAGCCCAATGCACAAATGTAACACATAGCGAATGTTACCAAAAGAATAACAGTTGTGATAAAAGAGATGCATGAGACGCCCCCCTGGCCTCACAAGCCTGTGCACCACTACAATAAACACATCATGCAGAGGTTGGAAAGAGAAAAGCAGGAGCGGAATATGCCCCATGGAGAGAGGTGGAACTGGAGAAGTGATGGTGTGACAGGTGAGAGAGAAGGCCTGTGGACCTGTTGTCATTGCCCAACAGGGATGGCATGAATCAGCTACAACTTAGACAGATGCAGGCTCACCTTCTGAACCTGCTGCCTGGCTGCAGGATTCCCCCCCAGCTCTGAGCAACAACGGAAGGCCAAGATGAAGAAAAATTCACTCTTTGCACTGGACCTCCTTGAAGGACCACTGTGAGGCCATGTTGGTGTCTGTGGTCCATGCTGCAGTTGGGCCAGGAGAAAGCCCGACATCCATGCGGACTCATGCAGTCTGTGCTGCTGAATCGCTGATGTCCTTGGGATTTTCTGCCTTGGGAGCCATCCTGATGTGGGTGGTACTTAGCCACCTGGGGCCATGTTGAAGCCTGTGGTCCATGTAGCTTCTGAGGACCGTGAGTGGGTCAGTGGCCCTGATATGGCCAGGGGCCATGTTGATGTCTGTGGCCCAGGTTACCACGGAAGCCCACGTGGATGTCCCTGGTCTGGGCTGCTGCCTGAAGCCATGTTAATGTCCACCTCAGTATGCAGCTACGAGAGCTCACTAGCAGAGTGTTTGCCCAGCAAGAGCAAAGCTCTCAGGTCACCAGTTCCCTCATCTTCAGGAGAAGAGGTGTTCATGTAAGACTACAGCGGGCATAAATGAACAACGAGAAACCTGTACAGTCATATTTCATTGTCAGATATAAAAACTCTTACAGAGGATTAGAAAACCAGGTCTTCTAAATGTGTGCGTGTAAACAGGGTCTTACTAAGTAAGTTGGCCTCAAAGGTGTGTTCCTCCTGCCCCAGGCTTCCAGACGTTGGGAATACTGGTGTGCTCTACCACACTAGCTTGAATTTCTTAAATAGCCTTAGGGTCACTCAGAGGATATTAAAGTGGTCCTCTTGGCCAACTCATGCTCCATCACTCCCAGAGCCAGGGCTGGAGGCTGCTCCTGGGAGATGACAATTGCATCGTCAGAGACTGTGGCGGCTAGTCTTTTACCAACCTGACACAAGGTGGAGTTGTCTGAGAGGAGGAAAGCACAATTAAGAAAATGCCTTCCTAAGATCCAACTGCAAGCATCTTCCTAATTAGTCATTGGTGGTGAATGGCCCAGCCCACTGTGGGCGATGGCACCATTGGGCTGGTGGTCCTGGGTTCTATAAGAAGCAGGCTAAGAAAACGATGGGAAAAAAAAAAAGAAAGAAAGAAAACCATGGGAAGCGAGCCAGTAAGCAGCACCCCTCCAAGGCCTTTGCATCAGCTCCTGACTCCAGGACCTTGCCCTGTTTGAGTTCCTGTCCTGACTTCCTTCAATAATGAATAGTGTTGTGGAAGTGTAAGCTGAATAAACCATTTCCTCCCAACTTCTTTTTTGGTCATGGTGTTTCATCGCAGCAATAGAAACCCTAACTAAGACGGAGGCATTGGATCATAAAGGTGCCAGGAGTGTCTTACTTATTTCTAGTGTCATCCTAAATTTATTAGAGATAAATAAAAAGCTTTTTAAAAGATCTTAATGGGTGAACTGCATTTATGGATCTTAACATAAGCATAGACACAGGAAGTCTGAGATGCACTGAGCTACACAGAGAGCCTCAAAGATCACCCAAGTCACCCACCCTGGAGCATTATGCACCCTCTCCAGACCCACACCCTTGCTAAACCATCTTTAGCCCACGCTACTGAAGCCCCGCCCAGCACCTGAGGCAGTGTGCTGTGCTGAGACCTGCTGGGACTGTGCCTTGTTTGCCTCAGTCCCCCTACCTTGTCCAACAGGTCTGCTTGGAGAGGACAAATATCAGAGCGCAGTCACAGAATTTGCTTTTAGATCTCTTTGCTGGCCTGCCCTCAACCTTGCCGGACTAGGACAGTGGTACACAGGTTGGGTTCTGTTTCCGAGAGGGATGGATACAGGATCTTGCCAGGTCGGCCTGGTCTCAAGCCCTCCCAAGCCCAGGCATGCACTGTTTCCCATACCGGATCCCAGGAGAAACTTTTGATTGTCAGAAACCTCGAGTTCCAGCCATGGAATGGACACCACCTATACTGCTCAGCTGACTCTCGGCCCCACCCTCTCCTCTTGTTACAGGCTCCTAAGGCATCAGGTCGGAGGCTCTGAGGGCTTTGGCTGGGAAGCCGTATGTGGTATTCTGACGAGCCAGAGCTCTCCTTCCACCTGTGCTCCCTCCTTGGAACTTTCTTAACTTCAGGAAAGACAGCACCATGCCGTACAGAGAAAAGACAACTGTTAGGTAGAACTGGGAGGTGTGGCCTTGCTGAAGGGGGTGTGGCCTTGTTGCAGGGGGTGTGTCACTGGGGTGTGTCACTGGGGGTGGCCAAGTATTGCTCGCCGCTGGGTGGTTATGGGTAAGAGGTAAGCTTTCAGCGACTGCCCCAGCACCATGTCTGCCTGCCTGCTGCCAAGCTTCTTACCACAGTGGTCACGGATCAATGGGGAGTGTCCCAAATAACACAGAAAAAGCAAACCGATGGGTGTCCTTGTGGCAGGACCTCTGGGAGATTCTCCTACCTATAGTTCCATGTGTAAAACCAAAGAAACCACAGTCAGCACCATATTCCAGGTGTTTTCAGACACAAAGTTTTGACTTTTACCCATCCTATGAATTAAGAATCCCACTGAATGCATTTTGGGAAAAGTGCACGCTACTGGGTGCAACATAAACTGACTTTAAGGGTCATCATATTTTAGTCCACTTGCCTATGTGGGTGCTGACATACACAAAGCCAGAGATACGAACCCCCAGGAACAGTTCTGTGCCTGCCTAACAATAAATGTGCAGAAGGATGGGTCTCTGCTGGCTGCCTATCATGTAATCCGCAAAAGCACAATTCACATGTTTTGTGCCATGTTTAACAGCACACAGATTATAGAACATCAATGGGATTATTGACTTTAGCTCATCACCTTCAACGTAACAGTCAAGAGGGCTGCGAGGCAGTCACAAGGCAACAGACATCGTCTGTAACAGAACAAGACTCACCCAGGAAGAAAAGCCATGGTGGCTGAGTCTGAATGTACAGATACACGAAAGGACACAAGGTCTGTGCATGGTGCTCTGCTGGTGTAGAAGAGGAGCGAGGGGGACTGAACTTATGCAAGTAGAACTGAGAGCCACAGGGAGGGAGGGCAGCTGGATAGGTTTCTCTGTCTGTGAGCCCGAGGGATGCTGGCTGTGGCTGGACAGCACTTCTGCTCTGTTCTCGGACACAAACCTCGACCTCAGTGATAAAAGCGGCAACTCTGCAGCCTGCTGGCTTCACAAAGACCCAGCAGCACAGCTGGTGGGGGCCCCATTACAGACATGCAAGGTGGAGGAGACCACTGCAGGGAGACAGGATCGATGGGTGCACTCAGGATGGATAGCAACCTCTGCCCTGCCGACAAGCAGCTCCCACAGTGCAGGTGAAACCCAGATGTCTCCACAGTCCCCTCAGCTTTAAATAGACGGTTCACATTGTTTAAAGGTAGCACTGTTTTAAAGAAGCCTACTCCCACAAACCCTAAAATGTCCTCATTGCAAGGACCTTCTCAAGAATGTCCCTGAGGCATCTGAAGAGCTATGGAGGGATGGCCAGGTAATGCTTCAGCTCTCACAGACACAGGACGTTAGCCTTGCTGGACACTAACAGGCGCTCACAGTGGCCAGCAATGGAGTCAGGGGTTGGGGGTGCGGCATGTCACAAGCACGGTACAGTTACTTTTTAACCAATGTCATAAACAAATGAACTTTAGATTTGTCAGGCAAGAATGAAGCAGGGAGTATTCTCTGCTGGAATCAATATGAAATGAAAGAAAAAAAAATCTGGGTCAAGGAGAGGAAGACACTAGCGGGAATGCCACAGAATATTTTTTTAAATCCATTTTCACTTTAACAATAATAGTCAGTATATGAAAGCTGGAAAGAAAGATAAGCAGAGGGGAGCTTAATCAGTCTCTGCCACTAAAACAATTCTGCATATCCTGGACATTTTAGTGTACTTACATATGCCAGGAATACATCTACCACTTTTAAAAACTGACATGGTACCTATATATTGTTTCTAACTTTATGACTAGATATTGTAGGGGGGTTTTGGGTGTTGTTGTTTCGTTCAGTTTTATTTACATCTGGCTTCCCATCTGAAAGGACAGGGGAACCCCAGGTAGGGAGCATACACTGGCCTGAAATAGCCTGGGATTCAACCTCAGGCTTGTTGACCCGTGACAGGCTTTGCTAGCCTCGGATTCCCATGCAGGCAGCAAAGACTTCCATTACTCAGCCAAGTTTCTCCTAGACTGACATGAAATGAAGCTTCTAAAGCACTTGACAGGCGCCCACCTAGGCGCTCAATGTAAGAAGGTATCATTATGCTAAATAACCCACTATATGATATGTTGTATTAAAAAGTCTAATCCCTCCTCTTGTTGACACAGGTCTCTTCTAGGCACTCTACCCACTGAGCCACACACAAGCCCAGCCATGCTTATTTGTAGGTTTTACTCTGAAAACGTTACGGACTCGCAGGAATTTGCAAGCAGTACACAAGTCCCATGTGCCTGGTACCCAGTTTCTCCAGTGGTAGCACTTTACCAACCGCGGTGCAATGCGAACCCGGGACAGGGATGTTGGAGTAACAGAGCATGCCCAGGTTTCTTCAGACTCACATGCACTCACTTGTACAAGTACAGGTCAATGTGATCTTAGCACGTTGGCAAATTCCTAGAACCAGTGCCTCCGTCAGAATGCAGAGCCGCCCATCACAAAGGTCCTTTCATAATTCTATCCATACTCCTCGTCCATCCCCAGCCCTATTCCTAAACTCTGGAATCTACTAATTTCTTCTTTCATTTTTCTGTTTCTAAAGTGAATCCATAAAGTTCGTAAAAGTTAGAAATTAGCTATTTTCATTACACTTTGAGCTCTATCTAGTTTGCTTACATCCATCAAAGGTGTCTTTGTATTTATTGCTGAGTGGTATTCCAGTGCCTGGATATTCTATAGCTTATTTAATTATTCATCTGTTAAAGAACATTCAACTGCTTCTAGTAGTTAGCCAACAAAGGTAATAGTCTGCTGGTAATATTTTGGTTTTATGGTGCTAACAATGCAGGCTCTACCACTGAGCCACAACCCCAGCCTGCCCTAAACATCTGTGCACAGTTGACCCGCCCCCCAGGCCCACCCCACATTCACTTCTCTGGGTTAAATGCTCAGGAGCATTGCTGGTGGATTTTATGGTAGGGACACGTTTAGTTTTATACAGCACTGCCAGGCCACTTTGCAGAACATCTTCCATGGTTTGCAGCTGTGGACCAGAGATTGGTTCCTGGGCATCATAACGCCACAAAGAGACTGTTCCAAGGCTTTGGCAAAGCACCATTTGTACTTCTGGAATGGCTAATGATGTCAAATCTATATTTCCATGCTTTGATATGAAGAAGAATGCTAGAGTAGGCATCTTTACATGGACACTTTGTTAATTCCTACAAATGGAGTCTTCAGAGAGGAATTGCTCAATAGGGGTTGAAAACAGGTGAAATAGATGCCATCTTAATCCCCAAAGTACCAACTGCTATTTTACCAACAGCTTATGAACGCTCCCACTGCAAAATCCTCCATGCCATATCTCTAATACATGCTAAATCATCTTCAGATGCTCAAGTCTCTGGACATGTAAGGCCCAGGAAACCCTTGCTGCCCTGATTTGCTTGGAGGGTGATGTTAATGGCAAAAGCTCAAATGGATTCAACCTTTAAAAACATCCCCAGTCTTCAAGGTTGAATCCTTGAGTTCTGTCAGCCAGATTCCAAACCCCCACTGTCTGTGCTAAGAGGTCAAAATAAAACCTTTGCAACAACATCTACACTGCCAAAGAAATAAATAAGAATGAGGTTTATGGAAGCCTTCACAGAGCAGAAGGTGAACCTACTGAGGCAGATTCTCTAAGGACGCCCTAGATTCAGGCATGCGCAGGACACGTGAGAGAGATTCCAGGGAAGCTGTGTCTGCAGAGATGACTGACTGGTTACAGCTGCTGTACTGTAGAGCGACTAATTACCTTCTCTAAGGTGATTTTCACCCTCTCAAACAGTTCTTGCCCACCTTTTGTTAGAGCTAACATCTTATGACTAATAGATAAAACAACAACAAAAAAACAAACAAACAAACAAACAAACAAACAAACAAAAAACACCTTTTGAAACTAACTTAAAAGACTACAAGTTTCCACCAAGGGAAAAGCTAGGAATGTCATCAGACAGCAGTGTGGGCTTGTGGATAAGCTTCCTCCATCTCGTTGTAATCACCTCTCTGGGGTATCGTCCATTATATTTTAAACCTCCCTTGATTTATGATTTTTCCATTCTGTTCAACTGTAAAACTTCATTAAACCGCTCGCACTTTGGAACAACAATTTGGGGCAACCTAGATCTATGTTCCCAGGCCATGGTCACTCAAAAACTGGCTCCAGCATAAACGGTAATAAAATAAAATCCCCTTAAAGACAACAGCTGTAGTTTTGTGCTGACAGGTATTTCCATCAACTATGTTGGGAAGAAGGAAGACACATTTACCTTTGTGGGCAACATGACACAGGTCCTCCTGCATCTTGGAGAACTCTGACGAGGCTTCCGAACCATCCGAGTAGCACTTCTCTTCTCCAAAGTCCAGTGTTGACAGGTTAGGATTGGAGGAGTGTAGTCTCACGGGGCCAGAAAAGGGTTTAGGGACCTAAGGTTACAGCAAAGGGAGATTTCTATTCAGACTAGAGTGGAATTCATCTCAGAAGAGCATCTTCCCACCCAGGGATAATGTCTAAGAAAAATGAATGAACACTGGGGAAGGTGCTCCCCATGGACGTTTGCATCCTTTAAACCTACAAATGGGTAGGAGAGCACACGCCGTTTCAGAAACGGTGGAAGCTTTACGGTGAGTGTTATGTTGAAAATGGCAGTGAATGCGCCCACGTAACTGGGTTGTCAGAGCAAATCAGTTCCCAGACGATGTTCTTCACCTGCCCCTGGAGCTTCTAGACTTCAAACCTGCTGCTCATATTTGCACACGCAACCTTCTTTACTCTGAAAGCATCTACCTTCAACAGCCGGGCCTTCTCTAAAAGCCAAAGAGTTTCCGGAAGAAACTCCGAGTTTCTCCGAAACCTCAAGATTCAGTTTGGTTCTGACAATGTTTCCATCTAGTGTGTGATCTTGCCTATGGCTTAGCTGTGCCTGGGAAAGACAGCTCCTGGCACCCTGCAAGGGGGTTCTTCCAGGGGGGCTGGGAGCTTGATGAAAAATGGCAAAAACTGCCTGCAAGGGTTAAGGCTCAGGCCTCTGGGCTCTAGGAGAAGGGCAGGCCCACTTGGAGGAAGGATGATAGCAACAAAGGTAGGTCAGAGTACTGGGCCACTGCAGCCACCAGGCATGGCACATGCTGGAGCAGGGAGTATCACAGACAAGCAAGATGTTAAGGAAGGAAGACCCCCAAGTCCCCACAACCGTGGCTCCAGCCTTACCCCTCTAGCCAGAGGGCCTCAGCTCCTGAAGAGGCCAACTCCATAACCTTCACTTTTCTGCCCTCGTTGAGTCGGTGGCCCCTGCACGCGGCGTGCAGAAAAGCACCATGAGGAAGGCGAGCCTGGTAGCAAAGCAAAGGTTACCTGCAGCGTTCCTTTAGCATCTTTGCCAATAGCTCTGGACCTCCACCTCCTGTGTGATCGCTTTTCCTTTTTGGGACTTTCAAAAGCTCCACCCTTTGTTTCAAAACAGGAAAGAGAATACAGACAGTAAGGCCCACCAAAACTACAGGGGCAAATGCACAGGGGCGTGACCACAGGCGTCTCCTTGAGTTTGGCTAAAGCAACCGGACAGACACCATCCCACTGTTAGTCACATGTGGCGAACAAGAGAGGAAGCAGAAGGCGGAGGGTGGAGAGAAGAGCGGGCAGGCTAACCTGGATGGCATTGATGGCGGGTGCCGAGTATGTCCGATGCAGAACGTCCATGCTCTCTAAGAGCTGGCTCATTTCTAGCAGATAGGCGTGGCAGTGTGCCAGGTCTGTCGGAAGAAGGGCAGATCCTTACAGCTGTCCAGCAGCACCATTTCCATAGCTGACTTCTCCCCTTTACACTTTCTTCCCCCACACAAAACAACACAGCCTATAGTGGTTCGTGGTATGGACCTGGCTGCCTCATTTTAAATCCACGTGTGAACCGCCATGCACGTTGTCCGAGCCTCAGCGTTCTCATATGGGAAGTGTGGGTAATTACACATGTAGCTACAGCGCTGAGAGCCGAATCAATGGACAGGTGCAGAGTGCTCAGAGGAGTGGCCTACAGCAGGAACGGAGAACAGCCCAGCAGCAGCACCCCTGGTCCAGCAGCACAGGCTCTAAGCTGTACTGGTGTCCAGGGTCCTGCCTCAGGACAATGGTGAGCCCCTGTGGATGGGCCACAGGTGACAGGAGAGTAGGTCAGATCAGACCAGAGTCACTCACTCGGGAAACAGTCCCCTCCACAGACGGGGCTCTGCTGAGCAATGGAGGTGCAGAGTGACTCAACAGAGCAGCTCTCAGCCTTCACGTGCATGGAATCACCTTGTGGGCCCACAGAGCTTAGGCTCTATCCCCAGTTTCTGATTCGTGCATCTGGACTGGGCCTGGGAATCTGCAATTTTTAATAAACCCTACTGATGCTGGTCCAGGTACACTGGACCATTTTGGAGACCATTTTGGCAGTGCTACTTGGTGGAGCTGACCGTTCCGGGAGGGGGTAGAGACTGCATACCCATGGAAACCATATCATACAACACAGGGAAGGCTCCCATGTGACAACTTTCTCCAGTAGTATCCCAAAAGGACATACTTCAAAAACGTGTGTGTGTGTGTGTGTGTCCCTCTGTGTGTGTGTGTGTGTGTGTGTGTGTGTGTGTGTGTGTGTGTGTCCGAAAGGAACACCCTCTGGTCTTCATCAGGAGCTGTATCTACTTTGTTTTTCAAAAAAAAAGGTCTCTTACTGGCCAGAATCTTGCCAAGCAGTCTAAGTTTGCCAAGCCCCGGTGTACAGGTACCTCCACCTCCCCAGGGCTGGGGTCACAGGTGCACACTACCACATGGGACTCTGTCTGTGGGTTCTGGGTATGAACCCTAGACTCTCATGCTTGCACAGCAAGGCTTTGTAAACCGAGCTATCCAGCTCTCAACTGCTTTTTTTAATTTTTTATTAATTACAGTTTATTCACTTTGTATCCCCCCATAAGCCCCTCCCTCCTCCCCTCTCAGCCCCACCCTCCTTCCCCCTTCTTCTCGATTGCCCCTCCCAAGTCCAAATGCTTTTTAACTCAAAAGTTTCAGATCCCATATGCTCCAGGCCTCACCTTGGACAATAAATGTGACCCCCCCCTATCCTGCTGGAAAGCCCAGTCTGGTTCCCTGGAAGAGTGTTAGCTAATTAAGGCTGAGAACACTGAGCTGCCTGTGTAGATGTGATCAAGCCTGCCTCCTTGTCAGAGTCATTCAAGGGGCGTTGGGACCATGGTCACCAGGGCCACACCCCAGACTAATTTAAACAGGAAGTCTGGGACACAGGCATAGACATAGGCACCCCCACACTTTAAAGGGTCCAGATGGCTCAGCAGTTAGGTTAAGAGTGTATACAGCTCTTTCAAAGGGCCCAACTCCACCCACATTGAGCACTTCCAGGGGACCTGAACTTCTAAATCTCTGGCCTCTGTGGGCACCTCCATACACTACCACCCAACACACACACACACACACACACACATACACACACACCCCACATATATTAAAACTAATACAAAATCTTGATTCTAGTGTACAGCCATGGTGGAGAACGCTTACACTGGGCTCTCTACCTGGCCACTTACTCCCTTAGGGACACAGATTCTTCATCTTGGGTGGACAACAGAGCCTTTTTTTTTTTTTTTTTTTTACATTTGAAAGACCGTGAGTAAGCAAACAGTCCCCACCCACGGAGATAAGATTGATGGTTCCAGGAGGAATTCATGCATCCATCCTAAGACTGGGCCAGGAAGTCTGTCTGCATGCGGGTGAAGACACTGAGTCCACGGGGAGACCATGTTGGCTGCTGCTGCTGAGACCGTCATTACCAAGGGAAGGGACGGACTACAGATGAGTGACAGCAGGGATACAAATGCACGGGAAGGCAATGCCAAGCTTGCATCGCCTCAGAGCTGTCGTAACAGAAAGAAACAGGAAGCGACCGGTCACTCTACCTTTTGAGCATTTCTCCATGTCCTCTGACGACTGTAGCCAGAACGGAACTCGTGTGTCACCTCCACAAGAAAACGACAAATTGCTTCCAGCCGGAAATGAATTCTGCTTGGATAGACTGCTACGCTGTTGGTGGATGATGACAAGAGCAGGTTAGAAAGCAAAACAGAGGCTGACGGGGACAGCTTCTAAGGTAACAGGGTGAGCTGGCTCATCATGGATGCAATGGGAAGAGGCTTCTGGCAAAGCACCCCACAGGAGATTCTAATACCCTGGCTACCACCCCAGCTGAGCCACACCATGCTACGTGGCCTGAGGGGTCAGGCCTCATTTTCTTCTATGAAATGGCGGTGCCACAGCAAAGACATGTTAAGAAAGGGTCTGCAATCCTGTGTGGTTGTACATCTGCCTAGCTGCATTTGACCACCAGACAGGAAAACCAAAATCAATGTGGCTAAGAGAACGCCTAAGCCTTCAGGACTCTGAGAGCAATCCTTACAGGGCCCCGGCCTTACTCCATGCTAGCTGTATCCTGGGTCTGACTCACTGGTCAAGAGACCAACTTACCATGCCCCTCCCACAAACCTTCCCTCAGACTCACTGCCAGAATGGGCCCCTCTGTTCTCCCAGACTTGGAGACAACTGGCAACACCATCATTACCTTCCTACTGGAAACAGAGTCAAACACTCCTGGGGCAGAATCTGTGACGGAAGACCCCGGGAAAAAGTGACTGACGTCACGGGGAAACATGGCGATCTCATTCTGCCGGTACATTCTGTGGTGCCGGAGCTTGGACACCCACTCGTCAAACACCTCTTCCGACTTCACCTGCACGAGGTTAAATTTCGGGGTGTTAAAAGAGGGCCACTGGCTCAAAAGGGTCAAGGGTCAAGGGTTAAACGAGGCCGCTTCCAACCTGCTCTTTTTGAGTTGGCACACATGAAAGAGAAGATAACACATTTACAGCCTTGGTTTTCACTCTGTGGCCTAGAACAACACCTGAGGAGGTATCTTCACAGACTATATACTCATGTGTCCCTGGAGATGTTCTAACTGCCACACAACTTTTAAGACCACAAACAGGGCCAGCTTTATTACACAACAAATAAACTAAAACACACATTCATCTCTGAAAGTATTTCTAAGTTCTCTAGCCTGAGACTTGCCTGCCCCCTGCTGAATGTATCGATTCTACTCTTCATTTAAACGCTTTGTAGCTCAGACTTTGTGAACCAGTCTGAACTGAAATGAAGTTTCCATGTTCCCTGAAATGCCAGCCTGTGTTCATCTGCTCTGACAAAGACCGCATGGCTGGAAGCAGCCGCTGACACATGTGCCCGTTAACCGAAAGAACAAATTCGCCACTTTCAGAAAAAGGAAAAATATCTGCAAAAGTACTGTAGAATACTATTATTATTATTATACAAATATTTATTCCCTCCATAGAGGAAGAAACATAAATATCTACTTTCCACAAAGAATGTCTTTAATTGGCAAATTCTATTTTTTTATTTGATACATACTGGTCTCAGACTTGTTTTGCAGCCCAGGCTGGACCTGAACTTCTGAAAATCCTTCTGTATTAACTACCTGACATTACTGGCATAACACTATGCCTGCTTTAACTAATAATTTTTATGAAGAAATAATTCAAGTACTCATGAAAGTGTTAAAAGAAACACAGCATTCACTCCTATACCACAGACACTTCACAGACCAACAGTTTTGTGTATAATAAATATTCATAATATCAGAGTGAGAACTGAGACACCTATACATTAGGATATAGACTCAGACAGCTTTAATTTAAAATAAGCCCAAAACATGTCATGTAGGCCAATGGCCTGCCAGGCGGTGCTGTGACCACCTGACGGAGGCTGCGGCAGGGGAGGAGGATGTGCAGATCGACAGTGGCAGCAGCGCCCAGAGAACAGTGAACATGACTCTATGCTGCTCAGAGGTACCTGAAGATGGAGGCTCGCCCTTAGCTCGCGAGTCCAGGATGCTGAACATCAGACACACATCTATTTGTCACCTCTGCGCTGTGAGCCCAGAAATGGACTTCATTTCCCAGATGTGGTCAGAAGGAACTTTATAAGACTCTGTGTCATCCTTGCTCTGATCTACTCCCCAAAGCCCTGAGAAGCCAGTGCCCAATGCGTTCATCTTGGCTCATCTTTTATTGGTCGAACAAGAGGAACGAGGCACTTTATTAAGTGACCACTGTTCTGTCACAGGCGCTACAGCAATTCAGGACTGTGGCTGGGAGCCTTCTTAACTGCTCTTCTGCCCGGACTCCTCAGGTGTAAAACAAGAGAGAGACTCAAGCCAGGTGTGGTGGTGCGCGCCTGTAATCTCAGCACTCAAGAGGTTTGTGAGCTCAAGGCCAGCCTGGGCTATAACACTAAGGCCTTGTGGCAGGGCGAGTGAGGTGGGGGAATGGGGAATGGGGGAAGGGAGACCTCTGCTAACAACAGTCACCTGTATGACAACTCAGAGTTAATCCTCAGGAACGATTGAGGAACCAAGCAGAATTTACAGCGAGACACGAGAATCACTGTCTCATGATATCAAGTCCAGTGCATCTTAGAACATGCTAAGTCTTTAAAGCTTAGAAACAAATGCTCACTTCAGTCTGCTAACTAGAACTGTAGATAAGCAGGGATTCACTATTTCCTGATTATGTGAAAACACAGAATGAAGAGTCATTTGAGACCAATACAGGAAAACAATGTCAACTCTGCCAGCGCAGATTAACGACTGCTGGGCTGGCAGCGGGGTGGGCTGATTGGAGGTTTTCCCTCCTTGACTTTGCCATAGTTATTTTTTTTTTTCAAGAAAGACTTGGAGACAGTGTGGGCTGTTCCCAGTAGACACACCAATGCTGTCCAGCAGGTAAGGCTGTTAACCCTGACACCGGAACAGTCCCACAGCAACGCATCATCGGCCCACAGTATCAGAGGACCTGCTTTACACATTGCATAGCCCAGAGTGCAGGGTTAGGTTAGGAGACAGATGGGAGCCACACACGCCGGGAGAGGGCAGGGACAGACGACAACCTTGGTTTTCCAAACCCTCAGCCAAATTCATCAGGCCTAAGTGAGTCTCAAATTATCTATCTCCAACATTCAGGCACTGCCTAATATATACGCAGTAGTTAAACTTACTGACTCCCAAGGAACTACAACAAACCTTAAATACATAGCCCTGTGAAATGAGCCCTGAAATCACCCTTTCAGAGAGGTGTGTGTGTGTGTGTGTGTGTGTGTGTGTGTGTGTGTGTGCGCGCGCGCACACACGCAAGGGTGGTAGAGATTTTTCAAGACCTAGATAACTGGTCAAAGTTTCCCTGGGCCTCATGCTTAATGCTTTCATAACATCATCCAGTGGCTAGGAGGCTTTGAAGCCTGAGATTTGCAAACTCCCACTTTAGGAAGCACTGCCACTTTACTACAATATGAGAATTTTATAAAATTCTCTTTATAAAGCTGGCTAAAGTCTCAAGTCACACGGTAAACATTATACCTCAGAGAACATATTTTAATCTATGGTAAATGGTTCCATACTGAAGACACACAGCCTGGGGGGAGGAGGGGGCACATGAAAGTGTTTCTGCTATTGATTGCTGTCACTGGGGAAGAGGGGTAACATTTGGAAAATGGTGACAAGGACGTTAACTCCTTGAGCAGTGCGAGAGGTGGTCCTGTACAACTGAGATGGGGGGGGGACCCAGAAAACCTGGCCCATCCTAACATCAACAGTATCCCTTGGGGACATTTTGGTGACAAAAACTGCGCACGTGTTGAATGGACGTCCCAAAGTCAGCAGCAGCAGCATGGTCATAGATAACCCCCTCTCTGTGGACAGGCCTCTGCACAGCCAAGCTGGGAGGGCGGTGCCTGTCGTCCTGGCTACTCAGGAAGCTGAGATGGGAGAACCCTGCAGCCCAGGAGAGCTGAGGGTTTGAACGCAGAGCTGGCAAGATTGTTGAGACTCTACCTCCCATAACTCAACCAGTGAAGGCCCCAGTGGCCGCTGTGCAGTGGGGGGAGGGGGGGCAACAACTGTGGCGGCTGCGTGGTAGGAGCAGACCCTGATGGTGGCTGCGTCGCAGGAGCAGGCGCTGGCGGAAGCCCTACCTTCAGGTGGTAGATGTGCTCCTCTGTGTCGAGGTCTATACACTTGGATGACTTCTTCACAGACATCACCGAGAGCCCCACGTCAATGCAGCCGTGAAGCTTCTCTCTCTCGATCTACGCAAGCACAGGGAGGGCTAGTTGAGAGTCACAGGAGTCAAGGAGGTTGTAACACCTCTGTCATCCCCTCATCTTGTACATCCACCCATGGTGAACCTGATTGATGGAGCTCCCCAGGCAAGCGGGACCCAGTTAAGAGCTGTACGTGTGCGGAATTCTTTCTCTGAAAGGGAGAAGCACCTGCCCATTTCACAGATGTGGAGGCTGAAGAGCAGAAAGCTAAAGAATGAGTGTGCATAGCCAGGATGCAAGGAGATGAGATGCGACCCCATGAGTTGACGCCCAGGCAATGCAAGAGCCATCACCTTCCCCTGGAATAGAGTCTGATGCCTACACTCACATCCAAGTCCTTAAGTGAGATAAAAGGAGGAGTGTAGGGACTAGAAGAGCAGAAAAAGAGAAGAGAAACACCCTATGAGGCAGGCCCGCTGGTCACTCAGAACGCCCAGGCCAACCTCCTAGGGTTACCTCCAAGAGGAAGCCCACCTCGGCCATGGCTTTCCCCAGCAATAGCATGTTGGGCTACGGAGAAGACTTACATCGGTTTGGCTCTTGGCGTACTTCAAGATTCCCTTTTCCAGGCAGAAGAATCTCTGTGGGGAAACAAACAGAACTCAGCAAGACGTACACGCTAACATCCCTCCTCTGGACTCCAGCTTCAGGCAGAAGATAAGCGCTCAAACCTTGGCACCGAGTGGGACACAGTGTGTGCCCACGGAGGAGCAGGCACCGCTGATGCATTACCTTGTGCCAGCCTTTTAAGGGCCATTTCCTCTTCTTCAGCAAAAATCCTTTCTGCACAGGCGGCTCCTGGGTGTAGGTCATGTCTCCCCTCAATCCTTCCACCACTTCCCAGCTGTCCTGTTCCAATGACAGAGCACAGGGCTAAATGTCACTCCTTCAAAAGATAGTACCATTAAGCAGCAGGCTACTGTAAAACCATCCAAGACAGAGCCTGGCTACGTCTGAGAGGAAGAAGAAATTTAAATTTAGTTCCCGAACATTCTTTGGACTTTTCAGATTCAATGCTGCAGTTCAGTGGCATCAGATTGTTTTGTTTGTTTTTGGTTGTTGGTTTTTATGGGACGGTTTTAGAAGAACTATTTCTCTTTTTATAGTCCCTGAACCTTGGCAGCACGGCTGAAGGGAAAGACGTTACTATACATCCTATTTTTGTTCACTTTGACGTCGTCAGACAGTTACTCTTCAGTCAGCACACCCCAGTCTGAATGTTAACCAAACGGTACGTACGTCAGGATGAAGCTGTGTGTCTGTGCATGCGTGCATATGTTAGGGGGAGCCTAAGGAATGGCTGAAAAGTGGGGCTAGAGAGATGGCGCAACAGCAAAGAGCACTTTCAGCTTTGCCAGAGGACCTGGGTTCCTTTCCCAGAACCCACACCAGGTGGTTCACAACCGCCTGCAACTCTAGTTCCAGAGGATCTGATCCCCCTCTTCTGGCATCCACAGGCACTACACAGCTGAGACATACATCACACAGGCACATAAACACAAATAAAAAAAAGTTTAAATCTTTTAAAAGGAAATGTCTGCAAAAAAATGAAATTGGATGCAAGCTCGTGAATCTTACAAGCTGACTGGAAACAATGGTTTGGTAGATAATTGTCTTCAAGTTCTAGGGGTTTAAGCAGCAGAAACATCAGAGAGAGAGAGAGAAGTTCTGACACAAGTATTTTCACCGTTTCCCTCCAGATTTTCTTTAATTCCCTCCACACCTCATTTCTTATCCAAGAGGCTTTTCATTTTAAGATGTGCCTGGTGCCATGGCGCATGCTGTAGTCCCAGCACTCTGGGAGGCAGAGGCAGATCTCTGTGAGTTCGAGACCAGCTTGGTCTACAAAGTGAGTCTAGGACAGCCAAGGAAACACAAAGAAACCCTGTCTCAAAAAATAAAACAAAAACAAACAAACAAAAGTCTCTGGACTTGAGAGTCTGGGGCTGCCCATGTCATATGCCAAGAAATAAAATAAAAAAACAAACAAACAAAGAACATGAACAATAACAAAAAAATCCTTGTATTTTTGGCCTGGGTTGTTTTCAGTTTTGAAGGGGCACAAATGGCTGCTTTAATTAATCCTACATCATTGGCCACTGAGGTTATTTCAAGTGACTGAAAACAAATTTCAAAAGAAATAAAACCACAAAAAAATCCTGAAAATTTCTTTTAAAATATTTAAACCATTGCTAAATCTGTGCAAAATAAACTAAAGTTGGTAATATCCTTGTGAGTTAAGATAGATGATGATGATTAATTAGGTCATAACATACATGAAATTCACAGGCTGGAATACAACTCAGAGTGTGAATACACACACCAGATATTATGTAAAATATGTCTCACATTGCCCTGGACAGCTGGTATGATCAGAGGCCATGGACTGGACACCAGGAGCTAGACGCTAAGTCTGGACCAGCCCCAGGGCTGGGCAGGTAAAGGTCCCCCAGGGCTCTCTTCCATGCTTCCCAAAGCTCAGCACATCACCTCCAGCAACAGGATCCTTCACTGCGTTAGCAACAGAACTCTTTGATGATCTGCCTTTTATCTGAGCCCTTTTCACTTTGAATGGAGATAAAGACACAGCCCAGATTTTTAAATCACCACTGTAGATATTTCAGAACCTAGAGTTATAAAAAAAGATTCATTCAATGGTTAAATAAAGGGGGGAGGGGTAGAATATTCAGTGTTTAATTTAGAGAAACTTTTTGGCGAGGGAACAGCAGTGAATGAGGCTTTGTTATAACTGCCACCAGCTGTCCAGCTACACCCAGAGATATCCATTCAGTCATGAGCAGCACACTGCCATTCATGTAAAACACCAAACGATCCTGCTCTTGTTTACTCTGGCTCAGACAGTCGTTTTTCAGAATTGTGTTTTACTTGTTTAAATGCCATGAAGCTTTAAGGCCCAGCAGTCATGCCCCTCCTTCTCTGGAGGAGAGTATCCCTCCATCCCCGTAACTCCATCCCACCAGTGTTCTTTCTGGACAATGCCTCTCCTGCTCACTCATGGAAACATGTATGAGGCGTCACTATCCCCAATGGCAGGAGCCCCTCGAGAGCACACCGGGTCTGATGCACTTCATGTTCCCTCCTGTCTTGTGAACAGCAGGCACCTGATAAATAACTCCAGTCTTGGAACAAGAGCTACAGAAGACGACGATGCGGCAACATCCAAAGTGGTGCCCGGTGTCCCGGGGCCAAATGACTGTTTTTAAATTAGATACAACAGACGTGTATTTGTGTAAGATGGGCGTGTGTGGTATCATCCCTTGAAAATCCAAGGCCCAGCCCTCTGGAAAGCACTCAAGTGGATCAGCCATTTAGAGTTGTTTTCCATTTCCCAAGCGGAAGGCAACCTCCAGAGCACTAATGCTGAAGCAAGCAGACGCATCTGCTCGGTCCCTCCGGTTGGGTTCAGTGCAAATGCCGGGAAGAATGAGCCATTATTGCATCCTTGGGGGAAAAGCAGATGTGGTCTTACCTGCAGCTGAATGGGAAAGAAGAACTGAATTTCAAAAGTGTCTTTACGACTCAGGTTAGAACTGAAGTGTTCTAGAATTCTAGAGATATGGTTTACTCCTCCCAACCAGCCAGCATGGCGCGCTGGGGGTAGGAATAGGTCTGCTCACCCTTGTCAACAAACAAGGAAGGGTTTGTACTTTTTTTTTCTCCTTCTGATTGTCATATTTTGTCATTTTCATCTTCCTAGGTTAAGAACTTTAAAGTGTTGGCAGGTGGAAAAGCCAGATTTACACCATGAAGAAAGGGCAGGCTCTCCTTGGCTGAAAGAGAAGGGGCAGATGTCTTCATAGGCCCCATTTTCATTCAAAGGCTTGCTTCTTCTTCCCAAATCACCACTGAGCCAGCAGGAAACACCCAAGAAGCAACTTTTGGCTCTGAAGTCTGCAGTGACCTCAGGCTGTTCCCTCTGAGCCTGGGGAACCCTAGGGCCATGGGGATTAACAGCATTGGGAAGAAGTCTCTTGCATCTTGGCTTCAAGTGAAGGGACAATAAGAGGGGACAAAGAGAAACTTCCTGAATCCTCAGCCTTGCACAGGGAGAAGGGTGTCCCATATCCAGAAAGACTCTGCAAAGTACTACAAGAAATCTTCACAGGTGCTTGATGTCACTTGACCAGAAAGGGCTGGGGTGCAGCTCAGCTCAGGCCTGGAGTCTGCTCAGCAAATAGTTCACTCAATGGTAGAGGACTCCCTGTACACTGCCAGGAAACTGGCCATTCAATTAACTTGTAAGTTGTTGCTTTTTCATTTGGGCCCCAGTGCTTCAGTGTCTTATTCCCAAGCTACCATGGAGACCATCTTCTTCAACTTGTGTACAACTGCAGAAGACTGGTACATACGTGGCAGCCACTAAGAGAATTCTCCATTTGGTATCTGTTGCAGTCCCCATTCAAGAAAGTCGATTAAAACTATGGAATCAGGTAAACGATACTAGGTAGTTAGCTTACAGAAAGAGGCTAAGTTGCCGCCACAGTTCCAATCGTGCCACCTGAATCACAGAAATAGTAAACAGTAGAAAGGGTTGAAATACAGAAATGAAAAACATAGCAACGCCACAAAAGGACTGGAGAACGCATTCCAGAGCCACAAAACCAGGAGCCTTTTGTCAGTTCACCGACCTAAAACAGTCAGAAGTAGCTATTAATAAATGTACGGAAAGAGTCAGAGCAACTTTTCCAGAGGCTAATATCATAGTCGACACATAGTGAGTTGACACACACATCTTATCAGGCTTAACCCTTTAAGATCATGTGTATTGGATTCTTTTTTTTTTAATGTAAAAAATGAGGAAGAGAATTAGATAAATTTCCTGATGAAATAGAGCTGCCGAGGGGTTCCACCACCCTATGGTACAGCTTGTGAGTTTTTTATTATTCTGCTATCATTGTAAAGTGTTATTTTTTTTCATGCACTTTAAACGTGTAAATTCCAATGATGAACAAAAAGAACAATCCTGAGGGGTTAGGGGACAGTGGTGGGTAAACCCCGAAACTGGTTCAAGAGAACTGGAAGGAATTGAGAAGCACTGGGCCTGCTCAGAGCTCCTGCTCAGCAGTCAGACATCCCAGAAAATGTCGGCATCACTCTGCAGGGCGCATGGTCACTGTGAAGGGCCCCAGGGGAACCTTGCAGAGTGACTTCAGTCATATCCCTGTAGAGTGAGTCTTCTCAGAAAGAAAAAGAGGAGGCTCCGGATTGACAAATGGTCGGTAACAGAAACTGGCCACGGTCAGAACCGTCTACGTTCAGAACACGATCAAGGGTGTTAACCCTGGGCTTCCGATATAAGATGAGATCTGTGTACGCTCACTTCCCCATCGTTATCCAGGAGAGTGGGTCTTCGGGTGAAAAATACATCCGAAGGGTTCAGATGAGGACGGGTATTGCTTGTTCTGTCTCTCAAGCCCAGAAGGACGAATTAATCCGTGAAGGAAATGATATTGAACTTCTCTCAAATTCAGCGGCTCTGATTCAGCAAGCCACAACAGTTAAAAACAAGGACATCAGAAAGCTTTTGGATGGCATCTATGTGTCTGAAAAGGGAAGGGTACAGCAGACTGATGAGTAAGACCTCAGTTACTCAGCTCCAGAAACAAGAGCCTGAATTATAAGTATGATTTTTGGGGTGTCTTTGGGAATAAGAGACTTATATTGAAAAAAAAAAAAAAAAAGAAAGAGATCAGCCCACACATTTCAATCCTGCTGACCCTTTGCCCCTTTGCTCCTTCATGCCTGACCTCCTGTCTATTCCCCTCTGGTGAACTTTTATTTCTCCTCCCTGAAGAAAGGCCCTCCCCCCTCTGAAGAGGAGCAGTAAT